GGCGGGGTTAATATTCATACTGCATATGTCCAGTTTCCGCACGCAATAGCTCTCGCTCATTATTCGATGAGAGGCTACAGCGGAAACGAAGTGTCAGTACAAACGTAGTATCAGTGTAAATCTATAGAACGTCTGTCGATACACATTTCTTTTAACGTGAACAGGAACTACAGTTCCCCAGTTTAAAAAGACATTTTAGGAAAGCTTCCTTTATTGTATCAAACGTGCTCTCGAGTTTATAACAACATATTAGTAACGTGTTTTGGGTCGCATCGATATCAAAGACATAAAAGAAGAAAAATTTATTTTTCTAGACTGTTTCAACTGTGTTAATCGTTTATGCATAGTTTCTTCCTTTTCAAGTCATAGAGTTAGAATTAAGTTAGAATTACGACGGTGTGCATTTAAGTGTTAAGACGAATCTGGATTCGGTTTTGATAGTGTCGTTGCAAAAAATATTTTTTGAACCGCATCCCCTTGTGTATCATCGACGCCCAGGAAACAGCAACTATGGCAAATAATAACTATACGATGAGTAGTTACAGATAGTGCAACTTTTACTATATCTAACGTAACATTCTAGCAATGCTCGTTTCTCGTTCGTGTACATTCTAGAAAAGTTTTTCGTACATATTAATTTTCATTGATGCAGCTGTAAACTTTGCTCGTGAATCACTTTGCGTTTTCTAATATCTCGACTATTGCACACCTGGAACACATTTATTCTGGCTCGTCTTGTACCATGGCACGCAAAGCGGTACAAAAGGAGATGGCATTGGATACGAACTGAAACGACATCAATTCGTTATTTATTTATGGTGTTTTTGATTAACTTGTTAATCAGGGCAGCTTAATAATCGCGTCGCTCGAATTGGTGCTTGAACATATTACAGTGGAGTCTCCCATTCAATTTAATTAAATTTAATTAATAAATCACTGTATTGACATTAGCGAGATCCAATAGCGAGCAAAATGAAACAAGTTATTATAATCATAGATGTTTTTATTCAGAGACGACCTGATTAACAGGTTAATTCATTCATCGTCACACTGTGGTACATGTAGACGCTTAATGTCAAATATAAATACGCAGATATGAATAGACAGGAATGTAATAATTAGTGTAACAATAAGTGAGATATGTTTTTACATAAATGTCGATAGTCTATTCACCATCACGATCGATATTCGTGACATTAAGTTCCCTTACCGAACAAAAAAAGCGTAAGGTAAGCTCCGGCATAAAGCAAGGAATTGAAAGCTTTATTGGTTTCTTATAACCCAGTATGACTAGTATCTGCTTTTGTAGTTCTAAAGAATGATCGTACCATTTCATATTGTACGTGCTTCTTGAAACGTTCAAACTCTGGAAATTACACAAAATCGTTTGTTATTGTAACAAAATCTGTTTTTGTTTTAAGAGCTTTATATGTATTATCTATATATAATATCATATGAAGCTCTTTACTTTTAATCTATAAAATTATGTATCTCCTCGTGTTTAAACTTTCTTCTGTGTTCCATTGTAATATCTCTTTTGAATTTATTTATATATTTTTTTAACGATGTAATCTATTTCATTTATATAAATAATTGCATATAAATACTTGCCACATCTTGAATATGATCAGCTGGCCAGGCGTACATGTATACGTAAAAGAGGAACATGATGCTGATAGCAACAAACTTCACTTTCGCTATCATCGGGGCGTCCTGTTTATAAATTATAGGTCATTTGTTTGTAGTACACGCTAAACGTTGCAAATTTCACTTACTGTGATCAGTAGAATACCACTTCCAGCCAGTATACACGTTGATATTGCTAAAATATAAAATACCATAAAGCGAAAGCAGTCAATTACTTCTTCCGCGTATCTAGACAAAAGAAAAATATCACTTACAATAAAGTTTGTAATTTAATTGCATTTATTTCACGCTAGAACTATCAGGGTTGGTCGAAACGACCAAATTCTTCGAAGTTTTTCGTGGAAATTTTTTGAATTTACAATTTCATAGATATACTTAATTTAAGTATTAATTGTCATCTCCTTTACATTTTTGGCGAAATTTCACTTGTTAATTTCTTAAAAGCAAACGTTCATTTTCTTTTCTTTTTCATATTCAATAAAAAAACTGATTCTATGTAATACAGTAAAAACATTCTTAGAGATCTCAATATTTATTTTTCATAAGATATATAAAGCTTTATCGTGCAAATATTATATATTATTATTGCGCTATATAATATTATATAATATCATATAAAGCTCTATAGATGTATAAATAATTTGTATTATTTTTTGTATTGTAAACTTTGTCCTATTCCTTCCGTTTTAATTTCTCCGACAAATTTCATATTTGATATGTGATTAATTATCAGCAAATGTTATATATAACAATTATTATAAGATAGTATTTTTACCTATTTAAATGTAGCTGTTTCTTAACGCAAGTGATCAGCGTGCGAACGTTCGTAGTTCTCTCGAGTTCGATTGTCAAGCAGTCGAACCTCGCGACTGTGAACCACATTAAAAGCGCGGCGAACACGCACATGCTAAAATGTCCGACGCCTTGACAGCAAATGGCAGTATGATGCAAGTATAGGATAAAATTTACCGGTATGTAATCGTTGCGAAACGGATATACCACACTTAATGGGTGTGGAATTGGCAAAAAGAAAGCTCCGACGACAACAAAACTAAATAGTAAGTACAGAGTTGTCACATAACCACCATAGACAGAATAGCATTTTGCTATATACAGATCGAAGATATCTCTCTCGTATTCTTTCGCCTCGTTGACGCAGGATATCATTTCTTCGATGATATGCTGTAACATATTTTACACGTCAAACACCTTCTTAATCTTTTAATTACACACCCGTCCATAAGTCACTGGACACTTGCTCGTTTCGAACAAAGTGATTATTGCGACATTAATCCTCATCTGTCCGTCATTTTTCCAACTCAGTTAACACAATGGTAAAAAAATTAACATCTACAACGAAAAAGTAAGTTATTGCTTACAACTTTATTAATTATTACTTGCGAATAAGTAAGTTATTTGTCAGTTCATTTATTCGCAATAAATAGAGTAAATTCCGATATTGAATTGCGTATAAAATACTATCAACTATAAATCACGTATAAGCCAATTTTATATCGTGATATTATTTTCTCCAGTTTTGTCTAACGTTGTAATAAATTTAGATAATTCATCCTGTATGTTACAGGATATGCATGCGTTGTATGTTCAAAAAATATAACATTTTATATAAAAACACGTGCTAAACTGATGGGGCAGATGAGGATTACGAAATATAATTTTCTCGCACTATACAATTTATTATATACAGTTTTAATTTTATTATATTAATTTACGGAAATATCTAAATTATAATAAATAATTTAAACGAATAAATGGGATCCATATAATTAAAATAATAATAATTAAAGAAAAATTAAATAAACTTTAAGAAAAGGAACAATACTTGATCGCATGCAGTATTGTGTACTTTATATTTATGAAAAAAAAAAAAAAACAATCCAAAACATACTTTGAAAACCTGTAAATTAGTTCAATACAAATACAAATTATTTCAAGAATTTAAACAATAATAAAATTAGGATATTGTTTTCGCAATCGTAAATGGTTATTTCTAACATAAATGGTAACCATAGTTTATTAAGTGTTCGTTGATTTATGGACAGGATTGTACATACATACATATCGTGTATTTTTTTATATATAATAATATATATAATAATAATAGCAATAATATCTGTCTGAACAGAATCGTTTCGTAACCATTCCGTGTTCGAATGAATAAAATCGATCTTTATGTGAATCAAATATCAAAGGATGAAGCCAAAAAAGAACCACTTACTTGCAAAGTGTCGTGTTTTATAAAGCATATACTAGTTTGAACGACAATTTGAATGCAAGCTATTAACTGAATCAAGCACCTATAAAAGCGCATCATATCGTTGATTGATATGTACACGAACACCGAGTATATTGATGGCACGATCAGGAGAATAGCGTGAATGATACTAATGATTTGCATGACTGACAGACGAAAGTGTTGGCTCTTGCTGCTGTTGCTAGGACTCGGCCAACAGAAGGTCACCGCTACGAAAAGCCAAGTAAAATGAATCACTTTCTCCGGCGTTGCACGTTTCAACATGATTTCTATAGATATCGTTTATCGCTTAATTACGCTAAACACGATTTAATTGATGTATTAAGAGAGATCTGTCGGAGGATTCTTCGAATCCAGGAAATTATTAGACTTCTTTGAACTTATAACTACATAATCACGAATGTTGTCGGTGAAAAATTGTCTATACACACGGGCAAATTAATAAATGAATACGCGACCCTATTTGGAAGTAATGTAACGATTAGCAACTTCTCGCGGCACTGCTACGTACAGTTGCTAACTTACTTCGCTCGGCAACAATTATAAGTTGCATTATACATATATATTCCGGCGGTACGCCGTATTAGACAGGCGCAAAGGGAAAGTATTACGTAACAGAAATTACATTTCATTAACACGTCATGCAAAAGTAGGGAGAGATCTTCTTTCGGGAAGGGATGTAGTGTATATAGATATATGTACATATATGGTGGATCGTACTGCTTTATAATCATGCAGTCAGTCGGTCGTACGATAGTCATCTCGCGGGTATTCGTGCGTACAGTGTGAGATAGCTGTTCCGTTGATTCAGAACAGAATTTCACACTGTATTCATTTCTTTCGAGTTCAGTGTTCGTGATTAGTAGTGTCATTTGGAAATACGAGTGTCGTCTGTATCTTGAAAATGAAGAATTACAACTCATTTGAAAGCTACATTATTAAACGCCTAATGCAATCACGAACAATATCGTTTAAAGTGAGGCTGATTGTGAATATGAACGCGTGTGAATGTGCAGTGATTGAACCTGGCAAGAAATTTATAGCTATTAAACGTTTCATATATATTTATTTTTATTAATACAACAAGGCTTATACTTTTCTAGTGTTATAGGGACTGTATTCGTTACTATCAAGGCTGTCGCAATAAATATTTCTCATCGTGATTGCCGCAAGGAATTCGTTTCACGGGTCCAGAAAGACAGTTGGAATCACATGTTCATACCGAGTTACCCTCTAACGCGATACGCAAAGTCGTGAAAATGGAGAAAGCATTGGAGAGGTACTGAAATATTATGTATAAATATGTTACATTTAAATTGTAATTGGTATCAATGGCATTAAGTATAATAATTTAAGATTCACGTTATTTTTATCCTCTGTTCAATATTAGATCAATTTAACCCAACCTAACGCAGTACAATATAATTATTGGACTGTGGCTATACTTGCAAAAAAATCCACAGTCTAATAATTATAAAATATATATATATATATATATATTTCTGTCATTATATTTTAACCATTTTTAAATGATATTTAGCAAAATAGATATCAATGAAAATTTTGATATTTACTTTGACCTATCGCCATTTACAATCGGCACGATTGTTGGCGGATTAATTTTGAAATTTTCAATTTCATTATTAATCTGTGTGAGAAAGACTAAAAAATATAACGTTAGATTAAGTGCAAAAAATTTTGCTGATCTGACATAAATTACTCGATCGATAATCTAACAATGCCATTTGATGATTGAATAATCAATCGATATAGACACTTTGACTTACCGAACAATAGTAAGGCAAAGAAAACTCTGGCACTACGCAATTGATGGAGAAAATGACCGGTTCTTGATATACCAACACGTTTAGCAGACACTTTTGCATTTCTAACGTCGTTTCGTACCATTTCCCGTTGTATCCACTTCGCGAAACCTTTTCGCTCTGAAAATTACAGAAGGTTATGCTTGATCAGAACAAAATGAACATTTTTATGAAATTATCATATATTCCCGAAGAGAAACAGAAATACAGAGAAAAATTTCTTTTGAATTTTGGACGACTTCTTGATCCATGATGTTCTAAATTCTTCATTTCATCCTTAACCTTCTCTTGTTAGATAGATACTTTCTTAATTTTTGTTTCAAAGAGATTCCTAGAGATGTGAACGTCCATGTCAGGATTTTGAACTATTCGTGACAGAAATTACATAGCAGATGTGAAACAGTGTATTTTTGGTGATTTAAATAATTTTTCGTAATATTAATAAAAGCTTCTGTGTATTGTAAGTTTTTCTATTTTTCAATATTTTAACATCTTCAAAATTTAATTCTTTAATCGTCGGTAATCCTAGCGTTAAAGACATTTTTATTCTGATATGACATTTTCATTGTTAAATTAATATATAGAAAAATCATGCATAAAGATTTACCATATCTTTAATGTGATCAGCTGGCCATGCGAACATGTACATTTCCACGAGTCCTGTCATACATATGGTTACGAACTGCAGCTTCACAGTCATTGACAGATTCTGTTTGCGTAAATTACACTATGAATTTGTTATACTGAATTATGACAGAAGAAATGAACGACTTGAACGTTAAAAAAATTTTGTAAAAAAAAAATATTGAAGATATTGAGAATATTCTTATTTTTATTTATTTTTTTTTTAAGTTTCGTTCAATGCATTTCGCTTTTTCCCACAGGAAGTATGAGTCAAATTCTAGTCAAAATAAAAAATTAAAACATTTTTAAATGTACATTTTATAAGTACAATGAGACGAGATATGTGTTACTCAAAATCTAACACCCGATTTTTTATTGCATGTCAAATTTAACTATTACAATTATATAACTAATAATCTGATTTTGTAATTCCAACGACTCTAATGTTAAATAAAGTTTATATCAAAGAAATCGAAATGAAAGGTAAAGGAAAACCCTAAAACGTGTTCCTTTTATGATCAGGTTCAAAGTGCATCTCAATATCTTGAACAATTTTTTTTAAATAAATGCTTGAACTGTCTACGGTATTTCTAAGAAATACTCGTAACTTACCATAAGAAATATAATGCCGCAAAAAGTTAGTCCGCACGTGCTTACTATTATAGCATAAAATACTACAAAGCGGAAGCAACTGATCACATCTTCCGCGTATCTGAGGGAAATTAGAGATTTTGTATCTAACAGGAATGCAGTCGTTCATGTTTACGTCGTGCCGTTGTAAAATGTGTTCATACCTTCTCAAATACAACTGTTTCTTAATGCAAACTATCAGCATATCAATATTCCTGCTCTTTTCGAACTCCATAGCCAGACATTCGAATCTCGCGACCGTGAAGAAAAGTAGAAGCGCTGCAAACAAGCTTATGCATGTATGTCCAGCACATTGAAAGCAAATGAAAGCTTGATGAAAATATAGGATAACATACACTGGTGTATAATTAACACTGAATGGATATTCCGCGTCCAATGGAAATGGAACTGGCACGACCAAAGGTCCCAGCAGAAAAGCAATCAAAGTCGTATACACGACAGCTACGTATCCTCCGTAAAACCTATTGCATTTGTCTATGTACATGCAGAAAATATCCCTTTCGTATTGTTGCGCTTGTTTGACATAAGTCATAAGCTCGTCGACCACATGCTGCAAATAATTAAAAAGTCCATACAGTGATTCGGATATTTGTAGAAATTTTTTTCTGAATACATTGTGAGTGCACTGCAGTTCTTTGTGCAAATTCACACTTTTAAAAACGTAATTTAATTTATTTTCTTTTTATTTTTCCGCAACTTCATTTGTTCCTTGGTGCCGAATGGACACAGTAGTAAAGAATTAAAACGAAAAGATGATTAGTCAAATTTGCAAATTCTTTTATAATAAATTCTTTGATAATAAATAGACTAAATTTCTATTCTTGGTGTAGATGTTCAATTTTATGTTGTAATTTTGTCAAAATGGCGTAAATGGCGACCTTTGAAACAAATTATAAAATGTACACCTCCGGTGAGTAATTCGAAACATATTAAGACTTCAAAGAGGAACAACAATTTCTTCAAGCATTACGTAAAAGCATAAAATTGCACCAATACATAATCACAGTAATCACGTGTGTAATGTCATAGTAAAGACCTAATCAAATTTCAATAAACACTCACATGTAACAATATTTCTAAAAAATTTCCACCAAACACTGTTGGAAACTTCTGTGCGTAATCTCTAAGGGAAAACTTACTTGCAGTGTCTCGTACTTCACTAAACAGATGATTGTCTGCATGACAAACTGACTCACACACATCGTCAAACACACGCATTTGGAAGTGAGAATCAGATCGCCAAAGTGCACGTAAGCCCCGTACATCAAAAGGGAAACTAACATGAAACCGCTGATAGTGGTAACGACTAACACAATTTTCCTAAAAAGAACTCGGCCTCTGCTGCTGCTGGCAGGAACTGGCCAACAGAAGCTGAACGCGACGCTAAGACGGGTTATGTTAATTGCCATCTCTGGCGTCATTTCGTTTGATAAAAATCGAGAGAAACTGCGAATGAAACGAAATGAGATGTGATTCACGTGCTCGAGCGGAAAGATTCATCCACTGTATAGAGCACCATCACATTGGCGCAAAAGCAACTGAATAACATTGCCCTTGCGAAATGGCTACAACGGTCTCGGATAGCTATTGATTATCTGCATGCCATTTGTTGCACCAGGAACTGACGATAATTATGCGTTGTATTATACATTGACGGAATACGTTACGAAGTAGAACGAAAAATGCAAAAAGAAGTCGTCACGCAACGAGAGTCGATATTTAGCGAGGGTGGCGCGTACAGTAGGAAATTTTGAATTATTATTCTATGTGAATAATTAAGTAATGTAGCTATTCAATCGGTTAATGACAGAGTAGCTTGCACGCAATATTATTACGAGAAACTGTGAAATGAAAAAGCAGGAAGAACGTAATGCAGTATTGCAATCGTTATCGACGATACACATTTCTTTTAACCTTGTTTCGTACCGAATGTCTGCACCGGATGATCTTTTATCAGATTCTTGTGACGCAAGTCGGTCAAAGAAGATTAATTATTGATCACCGATACTGTTGAATGCAAGAAGGGGCTTGATATTCTAAAGTATTTTCTATCAACACTTAATTAAAATAATGGAAACTACTAAGGAAAAAAGGAATATCACATAGTTTTGCAATAATTTCACTACATATAAGAATATGTATAATTTTTAAATTTGATTTTAATTGAACGTTGTCACATGCGTTCGTACATAAAATTGTCAGGCCGTCTCATAATATGTCGTGATTGCAGCTGCAGAAACGTTCTGAATTTAGAAAATATCGTCTTGTGATAAATTCAGTCCAATTGTAATTAGAAAAACAAAAAGAAAACATTTGGCCACACGAATATGGTCAATTTCGTATAAATTCTACTCGGACAATAGGTTTGTGTTACATTTTACATAAAATCGAAAACGGGTGAATTCGACATATTTTTTAAAGTTAATTCAGTTGTGAGAAAGTAAGTAGAGAAGTGATAGTGCAAAAAGAAGAGTCAGAAGAAGCGAAAGAAACAAGAAAAGAGGAAATAAATTCGTTCAAGTTCAAAAGCAGAAATATTATGGAAAAAATATCACATCGTCGTTATTTTAAAGACAAAGGTAAAAGATTTTATAAGATTTTATATGTTTATGTCCATTTACTTATGTTGATCCAGTTTCTGACAATTTTCGGCTATATTAAAATTTTTCTTACCTTCTCATCAATCACTATACTTCATATCCAAACTTTGTTTAAATTCTACTATGTTCGTTTCATTTGTACAAAGGCATTTTATAATCATTATTAATAATTATCATAATATATTTCGTTCACCAATAATAACTATTTACTGTATAATTGTAATAATAAATGAATGCTTCTATGTTGGCTCTTCTAGCATGGCACGCAAAGCGGTACAAAAGGAGAGAGCGTTCGACAAGTACTGAAATATTATCAACATTTATTATTGTAATTGTTGTTGTAGTATTGTAATTGATTTTACTCTGTCAACTTGCTCGTTAAAGCCTGTGCAACAATAAGATCACCCCTAATGTTTCAATTGAAAGAAAAAGAAAGATACAAGTCTCACATGTTCAAGATGGACAAAAAGTTTGTCACCACGAACGTAAGTTGAACATAAATTAATATCTACTTATACAAAATTTGCAGAACTGTCTTTAAAATTGTCATTGGATAACTCGAATAATTAGAGAGTGATCCTTGATGCAAAAAATTCCTTAATCAACGCTCGAAGGTTAAATCAGCTTACCGAGCAATAGTAGCGCAAAGAAAGCTCCGGTACTAGACAGTTGATGGAGAGAACCACTGGCTTCTGGTATGCCAAGACATTCAGCAGATTCTTCTGCATCCTCGCTGTATGTTCGTACCACGGTAAATCGTACACACTTTGCGAAAATTTCAAGCTCTGCGAATTATAGAAGACTGATAAGACAAGTATATCACTCACATTCATTGTATCGACGATTTACCATCTCTTTCATGTGATCAGCCGGCCACGCGTACATGTAAATGTACATGAGCAGGGACACAGTGATTCCTGTGAACAGTATTTTTGCCACCAATGGTGTATTCTGTTCGTAAATTGCACTAATTAATTCATTGTACGCAGAATCGTCACTCAAGTGTCTTACTTACCGTGACTATTGTTATGGCACATACGGTTATGACAAACGTGCACGCAGCTATGACAAACAGGACCATGAAACGGAAACACTCGACCACATCTTCCGCGTATCTGAAAAAAAAAAAAAAAAAATAAACGATCACGTACACTGACAAATATATGTAGTAAACCATCACTATCACCTCTTTAAACGTAATTGTTTCTCGATGCACACGATCAGCATGTGAATATCCGTGGTTCTCTGCAGTTCCACCATCAGACATTCGTATCTCGCGGCGGCGAACCAAATTAGAAGCCCTCCGAACAGGCACATGCATATGTGTGCGCAAATTTGGTGGCCGGTGATAATTTGATGTGCACGCACGACAGCAATTACTAACGTACGATTGACGTTAAACGGATATTCAGCGAATATCATTTGAACAATTGGAAGAAACAAGGGTCCGATCAAACCGACAGCTACTGTTGCATACGTGGCAGCGATGTAACTGCTGTAAAACACATTGCATCTCGCAAGATACACGTGATAAATTTCCTTCTCGTGTTCTTGGGCCTTCCCGATGCAACTCCACAGCTCTTCGAGTATACGCTGCAATCAATTCTTAAAGAATCGAACGAAAAGCCACGAGATAAAGTGAGTGATTACTTACTTGTAGAGTGTCGTGCTTGCTGAAACATATAATAGTTTGAACGATACATTGAATCTCGCACAACGCCTGAGTAACACAGTGAGAGACAACTTCCATGTCGTCCGATCGCAAATACATCGCGTACAATGTGGGCAAAAGTAACAAGGATATGTTAATAACCGTACAAATTTGCATCGCTTTGTAACTAAAGATCATAGTTCTGCTATTGCTCGCACGAAGCGGCCAACAAAATGTCAGAGCCACGCTCAGCCGTATAATATTAATAGCTTTCTCTGGCGTCAATTTTTTTAACATAATTTCTAATGATCGTTCGTCTTGTACGTGTTATACGACTCCGATGAAGCAACAAAGTGATACGCGCAGACTGTTGCGAACAACGATACTGTTACGAGTAATTGTAGAAATTATCACAGGCGAAATTGTCTCGCATGTACGAATGATTGAATAAAACATCACACAGTGTAGCAATTAGAACAGTATATTGATCGGTAATTTCTTCCGGCGTGTTTTAGTATGCTGTTTTATGCATTATGAATACAAGTAACGTACATAAGACGCATGTAAAGGGTTATTATCTAACAGACTCAATATTCATGAAGCATAAAGGTGGATTGGACAGGAAATATTCAGTTTCTTACCGGATTGCTTTTTACCCTTCCTATCACGAGCTAAAGCAAGGGGGAAGTTTAGATTCTTAATCAAAACGAAAAGGATATCGACATGAAATTTTCCCCAAGTGGAACGTGCATTGAAGTCGGTAGTATCATTGTGAGTTAGACACATCGAAGATAAAGGAAAGAATTGAAAACGGAGAGGCGATCGTCCAAGTGCTTATGCTACTGACAGAAAGTGACCAACGGAATGTCAAAACGACACGAAAATATGATTTTACGGTGACATTTTTCTTGATTAAAATAATGAGAAACTGACATCTCCGAAATCAAGCGAAATAAGATATAATTACTTCGCTAAGAAGGTATGTAAAATGAAATTATCTTCAATGCGTTTGTTTGCATGTTATTTGTTGGACAGCAAGTTGACTAAAGGATAACTATTGATTACATTATGCGATAGGATATGACGTAAAGGGAGAGCATCCATGAGTTGACAAGCATGAAAATAAAATACAGTAGAAGCTTCATAGCAGAAGTAGAGCTATATATTTAGTCATACTTAGCTATTTATCCAGGATAAATCTAACAAAAAGATACATTGATCCACGACAACACAATTAGGATCTACCATTTCGGACGGCTATTGAAAGATAATAATCCGTACAATGTGCACTGGCAAATTAAAAATCCGTATTCTTAATATACATATCATTATGCTCCTTTTTCTTGTGTTCACGGTCATATATGCAATTAGCATTCAGTATACGAATTCGATCAATACGTTCATTTATTACCTCGCTAAAACAGTATGATAAGGTTTGTATTTGTTAAATACGAACAAATTTACACTCATTGATACACAAATACATTACGAAATTAAAATTAAAATTATATAATTAAATATAATTAAATTAAAGTTACATTAGTATCATTGCACGGATCAATATCGCAATAAACTGAAAAGTATGAAAAGAAAAGAAAAATATTAAATGTTATTCTATATTTATTGGTGGACAAATTCACGAAAGTCAATTATCTCGTTAGTCGACATTTACATGAAAGAGTTAAGAGATTAATAAAACATGCAGTTTATTAGTTTGACTACAAAGCTCATTCATGAAAAGTACTAATTACAATAATTATTGTAAGTTTTACAAACACACTTCTACATATTAGAAAACACCGATATTTTTGTCGCATACTTACGTCAGTCGATTAAAAACGGACTTCCTATGGATTCTCAAGTAGTTTGCAAATTTCTCTTTATTGTATATTTAATATACTTCGTGTTTATACTCAAACATTGTCCGATTACTTTCGATATTTATTTTCGTTGTTACAAAGACACGGAATACTTTACCAGTTCTACTCATGACTATCATAAGTTTTCATTTTAACAATCCTAACGATGGTATAATGTATACTAATTTTGACCATATACATGTAACACGTCTATGTTGTATTCCCTTCCAGCATGGCACGTAATGCGGTACAGAAGGAGAGAGCATTCGACAAGTACTGAAATATTATCAACCTGTTATTATCAATATTCATTACATAATATTATCAATATTATCAACTCGCTCGTAATAGTTGAAGGCTGTGCAACAATAAGATCACCTCCAATCTTTCAGCTGAAACATTGAAATTGAAAGAGAGAGAAAGATGTAAATCTTACATGTTCAAGACATAAAGTTCTTCACTGCGAATATAATGAATTAATATCTATTGTATATTAATAAATATTAATATATATATACTTATATAAATTCTTACAAAATTGTTACTGACTGTTATTGGATAACTCAAATAATTAGAGAGTGATCCTTGTTGCAAAAAATCTCCCTTAATCGATGCTCGAACGCTAATTAGCTTACTGAACAATAGTAACGCAAAGAAAGTTCCGGCACTAGACAATTGATGGAAAGAATCACTGGCTTTTGGTACACCAATACATTCAACAGATCCTTCTGCATCCTCGCTGTATATTCGTACCACGGTAAGTCGTATACACTTTGTGAAAATTTCAAACTCTACGAATTATAGAAGACACATAAGACAAGTATATCATTCACATTCATTGTATGCACGATTTACCATTTCTTTCATGTGATCAGCCGGCCACGCGTACATGTAAATGTACATGAGCAGGGACGCAGTAATTCCTGCGAACAGCATTTTCGCCACCAGTGGTGTATTCTGTTTGTAAATTGCACTAATTAATTCGTTGTACGTAGAACCATCGCTCAAATGTCTTACTTACCGTGACTATTGCTATAGCAAATATAGTTATGACAAACGTGCACGCTGCTATAACAAACAGGACCATGAAACGAAAACACTCGACCACTTCTTCCGCATATCTGAAAAAAAAAAGATCACGTACACTGGCAAATATATGTAGTAAATCATCACCATTACCTCTTTAAACGTAACTGTTTCTCGATGAACGCGGCCAGCATACCAATATCAGTGGTTCTCCGCAGTTCCACCATCAGACATTCGAATCTCGCGGCGGTGAACCAAATTAGAAGAGCACCAAACAGACACACACATTCGTGGGCGCATATTTGGTGGCAAGTGATGATCTGATGTGTACGTATGACAGCACTTACTAACGTTCGATTCTTAACGTCGAACGGATATTCAGCGAATATTAGGTGAACAATTGGAAGGAACAACGGTCCGATCAAACCAACGAACCCTATAATGTACATAGCTACGATGTAACCGCCGTAAAGCACGTTGACTCTCTCAAGATACTCGTGAAAAATATCGCTCTCGTATCGTTGGGCCCCTTCGATGCAACTCCACAGTTCCTCGATTATACGCTGCATCTCTATTCTTAAAACATCGAACATTTTCCACGAAAAGCAACGAGAAAAAGTGAATGAGAACTTACTTGCAGAGTGTCGTACTTGTTGAAACATATAACAGATTGAACGATACATTGAACCTCGCATATTGCCTGAGTAACACAGTGAGAAACAATTTCTACGTCGTCCGATCGCAAATACGTCGCGTACAATGTAGGCAAGAGTAACAGGAGCATGTTAATAGCTGCAAAAATTTGCATTACTCTGTAAAATAAGGTCACAGTTCTGCTATTGCTCGCACGAAGTGGCCAACAAAATGTCAGAGCCACGCTCAGTCGAATAATGTTAATAGCTTTCTCTGGCGTCAACTTTTTTAACATAATTTCTGAAGACCGTATCCGTCTTGCACGAACAACTATACGTATCTGCTAGTAACGAAGTGATACGTGCGGATTGTTGTGAACCGCGATATGGCTACGAATAATTAGTAGATGTTATATTAATAATATTCCTTCGAATAATCGTTGAAATTATCGCAGGCGAAATTGTCTCGCATGTACGAATGATTGAATAAAACATCACACAGTGTAGCAATTAGAACAGTATATTGATCGATAATTTCTTCCGGCGTGTTTTAGTACGCTGTTTTATGCATTATGAATACAAGTAACGTACATAAGACGCATGTAAAGGGTTATTATCTAACAGACTCAATATTCATGAAGCGTAAAGATGGATTAGACAGGAAATATTCAGTTTCTTACCGGATTGCTTTGTACCCTTCCTATCACGAGCTAAAGCAAGGGGGAAGTTTAGATTCTTAATAAAAACGAAAAGGATATCGACATGAAATTTTCCCTAAGTGGAACGTGCATTGAAGTCGATAGTGTCATTGTGAGTTAGACACATCGAAGATAAAGGAAAGAATTGAAAAGGGGAAGGCGATCGTCCAAGTGCTTATGCTGCTGACAGAAAGTGACCAACGGAATGTCAAAACGATACGGAGATATGAATTTACGGTGACACTTTTCTTGATTAAAATAATGAGAAATTGATATCTTCGAGAGCAAATAAAATATAATTACTTCGCTAAGAAGGTATGTGCAAAATGAAATTATTTTCATTACATTTGTTTGTATGTTATTATTTGCAATATGTTATTTGTTGCACAGTAAGCTAACTAAAGGATAAGTATTGATTGCATTATACGTTGGTAGGATATGAGATAAAGGGACAATCATAAAAATAAAATACAGTAAAAGCTTCATAGCAGTAGTAGAGCTATATATTTAGTCATGCTTAGCAGTTTATTCACAATATCTAAGACACATTGATCAATCGCAATTAGGGTCTACCATCTCGGACGTATATTGAGAGATAATAACTATAATATGCATCAACAAATTAAAAATCCGTGTTAATATACGTATCATTATGCATCTTTTCGTCCTGTCATACCAAACATATATATGTACGACCCGTATTCAGTGTATGAACTCGATCAATATGTTCATTTGTTACCTCACTAACGCACAATAGTAATAAGATCTATTTTTGTTAAATACGAAATTTACGTGCATTAAAGCATGGATATATTATTAAATTAAAATTGAAATTACATGATTAAATATAATTAAATTAAAGTTACATTCGTACTATAAATTACGCGAATTATCTCAATATCGCAATAAAATTAAGTATGATAAGTATGAATGAATTTTTTTTTAATTTATTGGTGGACAAACTCACGTAAGTCAATTATGTCGGACAAATTGAATATTATTCTAGTGCTTATGTAATAAAATTGAGAGATTAATAAAACATACAGTTTATCAGTTTGACTACTAAGCTCATTTATGAAAATCATTAATTATAATAAATTGTAAGTTTTACAAATATACGTCGATATATTAGAGATCATCATGAAACATCGATATTTTTGTCGCATACTTACGTCAATCGATTAAAAACGGACTTCCTATGGTTTCTCAAGTAGTTTGCAAATTTCTCTTAATTGTATTTAATATACTTCGTGTTTATACCCAAACATTGTCCGATTACTTTCGACATTTATTTTCGTTAATACAAAGACACGGAATACTTTGCTAGTTCTACTCATGACTATCATGAGTTTTCATTTTAACAATCCTAACGAGTTAGTATATAATGTATACTAATTATGACCATATACATATAAACACGTCTATGTTTTATTCCCTTCCAGTATAGCACGTAAAGCGGTACAAAAAGAGAGAGCATTCGACAAATACTGAAATGTTATCAATTTGTTATCGTCTATTAACTGATTAGTAACAATTGAAGGGTTTGCAGCAGGGCTCTCACTATTGCTCGGATTTACGAATATCCGATCTAGACTATTCGGATACACACTCGATTGAAAAACTGGGTAATGTATAAAGAATCATTCATATTTGAGTAATTATGATAGAAATCTCGAATAGGTTTTGGATCGAGTTTTCACGTATTTAAATTCAGATTCGAAAACTCGAATAGTCGACACTTAAACCGGAGTTTGTACTGTAATAGATACTTGGAGTACTCGTACAGCAAGAATTCTAATTTGCAGCAATAAGGACAATATTCAATGACAAGTTTCAATATTTAAATTGAAAGAGGAGGAGTGAAAGCTACAAGAGATTGTTACTGAAAGAACATCGGTATTACGAATATTAAAAGTTTGTGAACACCATTGAAAAAAATTGACTTTGATATTACCTTCTAGCTTCTGTTGGTTTACCGAGATTACTGATTCTTATTGCAGCAAATCCTTCAATCGACGCTCGTACGTCAACTCGTCTTACCGAGCAATAGTAGCGCAAAGAAAGTTCTGGCACTAGACAACTGATAGAAAGGATCACCGGTTTTCGATACATCAACATGTTCAGTAGATATTTCTGCAGTTTCGCGGTACATTCGTACCACTTTAAATCGTACACACTTCGTGAAACGGTTAAACTCTGCGAATTATAGAAGACTGATTGCGCTTAAAAAAAAATTAATAAAACCTGCAAATCAATTACTTAATATATATATATGTATTGTACGTATATGTGATCTACCATGTCTTTCATATGATTAGCTGGCCACGCATACATATAAATGTACATGACAAAGTACGAAGTCATGGTTGTGTACATTATTTTTACCATTAGCGGTGTATTCTGTTTATAAATTATAATTCATATAATAATGTTATATACATACAACATGTATAAATATTATATACATATAATCAGTTGGTTATACGCAGAACGCTCACCCCTTGAATATTACCTACCATAACCATCACAATGGCGGATAGCGTCATGACAAACGTGCACGCTGCTATAACAAAAAGTACCATAAAACGAAAACAATTAACCACTTCTTTCGCGTATCTAGAAAAAAGAAGCAGATCACGTACACTGGAACATGAATGCATTGTTCAGTCCAGTGGTTCCCAAATGTCTGTTTCATTCGAGATTCATTTTTTGAACATGTGTGTACATTACATTCATCGAGTGTGTTTTGCTTGATAATACATGTACATGTATGTACGTTTAAAATAGTAAAACAATATTTTTTTGTATAATCATTGCAGGTGGTGAATTCACATACTACTATAAGTGAAAGAAAAAAAAAGGAAAAACGTATGTTTCGAATTATAGATGATTGAATAAAACAAATCTCATATTTTGAAATTTTTCACGACCCATCGCAAATGATCAACTCGCGATTCACACTTTGGGAGCCTCTGGGTTTAACACTCTGGTAGTAAAAACTGCATCGTTACCTCTCCAAACGTAATTGTTTCTCGATGCAAAGGACCAGCATACGAATGTCGGTACTTCTCTGCACTTCCACGATCAAGCATTCGAATCTCGCAGCCGTGAACCAGATTAAAAGCGCCCCGAACACGCATAGGCACATATGCGCGCAGCATTGATAGCAAACGACGATCTGATGCGCACGTATAACAGCAATCACTAACGTACGATTAACGTCGAATGGATATTCCACTTGTATCAAAACGGCAAATGGAAAGATCAGAGGCCCGATCGTGAATAGGAACGCCATCACGTAAGCAATCGCCAGATAACCTCCGTACAACGTGCTGTATCTCACGAGATACGTGCAGAAAATCTTCCTCTCGTGTGGTTGGGCCTGTTTGATGCATGTCCACAGCTCTTCGACTAGGCGCTGTAACCGATTCTTTAAAGCGTAGAACTTTTTGAAGCGAAGCTGATGATTAATAGTCTACGGATTTCTATGCAAATTCACATTCTTGGGAATGTGATTAAGAAAATAGAATTATGATGGAAATGTACTAAATGTTGCCCAAGTTTTATACTTTAGATGTTTTAATAGAGCGATGAATGAAAGTATTTGCATACTCGACGAAAAACGGTCTGAGCTGTAACTTTGTAAAAAAAGAAAAAATCGCACAACAGTCCTTAGCTTCATCTTCTAGCAGGAAACTTTTATCTTGATAAAACGCTAAGGTCGTTTTCTTTAGAAATGTTTTTCCATCGCGCAGCACGTGGGGAAGCAAAGATACTTTTGTTCTCGAAAATTGTGAAAGGTAAGATCGATTGAAGAAGTTTCTCTCGTGACTAGATTCGTAACAAGATCATTCACGATTTTGAATACTGAAATTTTTTCTTAAAATTTGTTATACGATTTTTTTTCGCTACTTTATTGAACTCCGAACATTAGAATTCCTTGAATTTCTTCACGTTATATTCATTCTCCTTAAATTTTCTATAAACGCATAAAAATCCGCAATCTAGTGATTAGGAACTTACTTGCAGAGTGTCGTGCTTGCAGAAACATATAACGGTCTGAATGATACATTGAACCTCGCATATCAATTGGCTCACACTTTTCGAAATAACTTCCATATCGTCCGAGCACAAGTAGATCAGGTATATCGATGGCAAGAGTAGCAAACAAACGCTGATGATTGCACAAATTTGCATAATTTTGTAGCCTAAGATTTCTGTTTTGTTACTGTTCGCTGAAAGCGGCCAACAGAATGTCAAAGCTACGCTGAGCCAAATAATATTGATAGCTTTCTCCGGCGTCACTTGTTTCAACATGATTCAGAAGGTTTGATTTGTACGGTGTACACGTCGATAGAAACAGTATCTGACTGACGTAATGGCGTGTTACATGGATATTTGTGGAGAACCGCAACACTATTACCTCGGAACAATTACAGATGTTATCGTGGTGTAATTGTCTGGCACATGCGAAGAATTTAATAAATCATATCAGACAGCATTATTCTTGCGAGCAACATATATCGATTACCTCCATTACGTTTCGTCGTCCTGAGTTTATCGTAATTACTGTTGGATGCATTATATATAGTTGAAACGTGTAATGTTAGACACATGTAAAGGGAGTTATTATGCAGGTTAAAATATTCATGTAGCGTAACGTTCTTTGAAAATACGGATACAGTAAACCGGGAATATTCAGTTTCTCACTCATTTATTGCTCCCGATACGAAGAGCCATAGCTAAAACGAGGAGAAGACACGAAGTGCAGGTATAAAGGAATTATGTTGCTCTTCCTACTTCATGTGACATTGTGCTGTATTCCATAATTACTTATTATGAATTATTATCTGGAGTATAATTGTGGGCAAATGAACAATTGATAAGGTGAAAAGTGTATTATTTTGAATTACTGTTTCTTTGATTAATAAAATAATATCTAAGTCTGTTCAAAATCAGATTGGTTGAGGACTCATTGGACCAGAGTTTGGATTCGGTATAGTGATTATTCCGACAAGTCAATCGTTGGTAATAAAAATACAATAACAAACAACCGGTAAATACGACGTCAACATCATTCCGTTAAAAATCAGGACCAGGCTTCGAAAACACGCAATTACACACACTTAACTGTTCAACTTCGTACAAACAACGCAGATTTCTTTCTGCAACCACAAACAGCACTAAACACATCTATAACACTAATACACATCTACTTCACTAATCAATCGAAATTTAATACTGCAATAAAAGAAAAGTCAAGGGAAAGAAAAAGAACTAACACGAAAATGTCAATTACGAGTCATTGTTATAACCTCCGTCTTATATCTTCTGCTCATAACTGTGATGCTTGATGATTTTGTTTTATATGAATACATTCATGTTGAACTGTCATTTTCCAACAAGACACGCAAAGCGGTGAAAATGGAGAAAGCATTGGAGAGATACTGAAATTTCATCAATTTATTACTCGTGTGTTATTCTTGATAAATTGAAGAGTTAAAACTATAAGTACCAAAGAAATGAAGGAAGATAATTTTTTTTAATAAGAAAATAGAATTAAATTAGAGAAATGCAACTAGGCTATAGGCTATAGTTGAGTGAAAGGAAAATATGATCGTGCAAATAGATAAAAATTAGGTTGTTGCTTCTATCAGAAATCTTTACACTCTCTGGCACTTAAATACATCATCTTACGTTTTAACTCCTCAAGTCATTCATTTTAAACTTTGCCAGAGCCTTACCGAACAATAATACTGCAAAGAGAGCTCTGGCACTAAACAGCTGATGGAAAAAGTCACCGGTTCTTGGTACAATAATACATTCAGTAAATTTTTTTGCATTTTTACTGTATACTCGTACCATAATAAGTTGTACGCACTTGTTGAAATGTGTAAACTCTATGAATTATAAAAAAAAGAAAGAAGAAGAATCACAGATTATGTTTTAGATTGTCGCAGATGAAATGACGAATATAAATTTCAATTCAATTAATATATAATAATATGTAGAATAATAATATAAAATTCAATTGTAATTGTTATAAATTTTTAACATCTATAGTTTTCTTAAAGGTAATATTATCAAATTTCAACCTCCTAGATTCGATATATATCATTCAATTTTATAATTATTACAACTGAAATCTTTAATCAATCATTGTTGGTAGTTTTATAGTTCGTATTCATATTTTTCAATTTACATTTTTTACTATTAATAACTGGTTATTTGTTCTCTTAACGTAGCTTTTCAAATTAAATTGCAGTTTCAAATTTGTATAAAAAAAATTCACTGGAATTTCCTGATCGATTTACAATGAAACAATTGACGAAACATCGGTCGATGTTGAATTCGATAATTCAACTCTAAATTTTAAATCGATGTCTAATAAATATTATTCAATGAAACCTTTGTACAATACTATTCAATGAAATTTTTGTAGAATTTCGTCATTTCATGAGCGTACATAAACAGTAAATATGGTTTACCATTTCTTTCATATGATCAACTGGCCACGCGTACATATAGACTTCCGTTAGTACAGTGACGCATATGGTTATAAATTGCATCTTTACAATTAGCGGTGTATCCTGTTGAAAGGTGCCATTATCAATACACAAAATTACTGTTGCATACGCGAAACAGGCTGCAAATATTCGTGCAAATATTCATATTTTATAAGTATTCTCACAACTGAAAAGGCAGAAATTAAACAAAAATTCTCTTCAAAATTCTCGCTAAATATTATGAGTACTATAGTTAAAATATTTTGCAGGGAAAATTATAATTTATTTTAAATATTACTATTTTGAATTACTCGAACCTTAAAATTTCATATACAAACATCCACAGCCCAATCACAAGCATCACTTACCATGATCATTATAACACCGCATAGAATCATTGCAAATGTTGTCACCGCTACAGTATAAAGCACCACGAAACGAAAGCAACTGACCACCTCTTCCGCATATCTAGATGGAATTAAATCTTTCAGGAACAAAGAAAAGATGGAGTTTGATTGAAACATCGAGTAAAACGCCAGCTCTACCTCCTCAAGCGTAATTGTTTCTCCACGCAAGCGATCAGCATATCGATGTTTGAACTTTTTTCAAATTCGATCGCCAGACATTCGAATCTCGCTGCCGTGAACCAGAATAGAAGCGCTCCAAATATGCACAAGCATACGTTTGCAGAGCATTGATAACTAACTACCGATTGGTGAAAGTATATGAGAACATTTACCGGTGTGTAATTAACGCGGAATGGATATTCAGCATCTAACGGGAAGGAAACCGGCATGATCACGGGTCCTAATAGAAAAGCAGTTGCAGTCAGGTATGTAAATACAATGGCACCACCGTAAAACATGTCGCACTTCGCAATGTACTTGTAGAAAACCTGTGTCTCGTATTGTTGAGCGTGTTTGACACAGGCCACCATTTCTCCGACTACACGCTGTAACCCATGGTTAATATTTGAAAGTTTCTAGAATTTGAAAATTTCGATTTCGAGAAAGAGATCGATGATTGACTTCGTCAATTCTGTTTATGGTACTTTTGCTAATCAATATAATTTAATATAAATTCAATAACTTAATATCATTTAATTTAAATTTAATATAACATTACTAACGTTGAAACTTTAATTAATTGTATTTCAAAGTTGTCGAAGTTATATAATTGGAAACATAGGATTTGTAGATTTTCTTCAGCGAATAATCTTTAACTATCCTCCGGCATTACAGGTCTTTCATTCTCTCTCGCCTGATTTCTCGTTATCTCGTTAAAAAAAAAAATCTGAAAAAATTTCAGGCGTAGTTATTATAGTTCCTAATTTAACGTGCAACCAAAATGTTCGCAGTAGGCCAAATTTTTCGCAATGGAGAGAAAAATTAAACAATGAAGAAAATTCATCGACCCATAATACCAGCAGAGGATTAAACTAATTGTTATACGTCTAAGAATATTTCACATAAATAAATCTAAAGATGTTGCACTTACTTGCAGGGAGTCGTGCTTGATCAGGCATATAAGCGTCTGTACAATAAGTTGGCTCATACCTATCGATACGCAGATACATTTCGAAACAATGACGATATCATCCGAGTGCAAATAAGTCGAATATAACAGTGGCAGAAGCACCAAGCAGGCGCTGATAACGGTGGAAATTTGCAAAACTTTGTAACCGCAGACGCGAATTCTGCTACTCGCGGCAGAAAGTGGCCAACAGCAACACAACGTTACGCTCAGTTTTATCATGCGAATAACTTTCTCCGGTGTGAATTGTCTCAACATAACTTCAACGAACTAGTACTCGCCTTATGAATGGAATGAAGTAAGTATGAAAGGAACGAAATAACGAACGAATAAAACGAAGTGAGTATCATACGAACGAATTCCTCGACGTCAGGAGACTATTATATCGTAACGTAATACGCAGATGTTATGTATAGCCTGTCTCGCACACACGAGTAAATTAATAAACCATGCCACAACGTAATACCTGAAACCAACGTACACGTTAACAATAGCTTATAGCGTTAGCTGACTCAATGATAATGATGAGTAATTACATTACAAAAAGGCACGGCCTGTGATATTAAACAGCTGTAAGGAGGAGTTATCACGCAACAGTGCTCTCAGGTGTGCAATGTCTTTGGAAAAAATAGGGTGTGTAGATTGCAATTTGATTGTATATTCAGTCGATCGTACGTTAATCTATTCACGATACTGACAAAAGACGGTAGCAGAAAGACGATGCTGGCACGCGTTTCCTTTAAAACTGATAATGGTTGTTCTGAAATATGAATGTTCTGCGAGGGATCCACACACACGACATTGCTCTTCAAACCATTGAATACCAACGTTACATTAATGCAACATTTCAGTTGCTGTTTTTTTCCAATCGATTCACACTATAAAGATTTTTCATGGTTGTGGAAGGGAAATTCAAATTGACTTAAAATTTCCTCATCATTGTATACGAGTACAAGGAAACGAAAATCGTGGCTGAAAACGGGCTAGCAACGATATATAGTTAGTTTATACTACCAAAAATACTGTAGTATAAAAATGATAGTGCAGTACGACTGTAAAGGTGTACTAGTCAACGATTGTAAAAATATACTGGTGTTTTTGTTTAACTTTCTTTTTGCCACAATTCAAATGTGATACCGGTGAAGATACATAGAGTTTGGAGTTGTTTGAAAAGTGCCTAATATATTACGTGTATCTGCAGAATTTAAGCATTGGATATCGAGTTTACAGAATATATGTGAAAGAAGAGAACATCATTGTTATACTAAATTGACCATTTCATATGTATAATATATTCGTATATAAATAGGTATATATATAAACAAATACATATATAAATAGATACATTTAATTTACTTTCGCGGATGTCTCTCGTAACATATTCTTTCTCCAAGGAGTATAAAATAACTATGGATTTCCGATCATAATACGAAGAGCATTAAAATACGAGATAGACGCGTACAAGAACTGTAACAGAAAATAATTGATAACTGTGACACTGACTTTTATATTGTAAGGAACGTTACCTTCGCGTAATGTGATAACGATAGTTTCGTCATGATACCACTGATCCTGATAGTCTCGAGTCTTTGGGATCTCAAAATGGTAAGGAATATGTTCCTTTGCATCCTGATGTTTCTGTTATACCAATCAATGTTGTAAACGATAGAACCAATTTTCATATTCTACGATAAAATGAAATTCAACGTTTTATTCGGTTAATTTTATTGTAACACTATGATTACTTCATTACCATGTTCATTAAGTTTTCTGTTGGCCAAGCGTACATGAAGAATTCTATGGCAGCGCTGAAGACTACAATAGCATACAGAGCTTTCAAAATTAATGGTTGATTCTGTAAATAAATTTCAGAATCATCGTTTTGAAATTCGGTTATCATTAGACTGCGAATTTTTGCGGATTTATGAGAAATTTGAGAGTGCAAAAATGTATGAATTTGCAGTATTTTTATTCTAAAAAAATATTCTGCGTAACAATAATATCTAAAGATTATTCTGAAGAATATTCTATGTTCTTTTTAAATTTTATCCTTCTAGTTAAAAATTGTAAGATGCATCACTAATCACTTACTGCGATTATATTTAGGCTACCGAAGATCACGGCGATAGTAGTCGTCGCCATTGTCGCCAAAACTAAGTATTTCACACATAGTCGGATTTCTTTCATATACCTACACACATGTGCAGAAATGTGATGCAGATTACGTACATCAAGATTAATTAACATAAAAATAAATAGATAACAGTAACTTGGTTTTCACTTGACTAATCTGAATGAAACTTTTGATATTATATTGCATTTCATATTACAAATTACTAGCTAAGGTCGAAACCATATATTTTATTTAAATTCTATTTCTTATTTTAATCAATTATAATGAATAGTCAAATTGGGAAAACCACATGAAGGTTTGGATTTTAAAAAATTCAATGAAACTGTTTTGGTTTCTTAATGATACTATTATATGATACTATATATATATAGTTATATTATTTAGTTATATTATATATATATTTTTTTTAATTTCCATGACTTTCGATATATAAAAATGACATAATGATTTTTAACCTAGAGTTTTATCTTGTTAATATACACTTATATATATATATATATGTACATATAATTTTGTGATAATACCCTTAATATTACATTTCGTCAATTTCTAAAAGACATTGTGCATAAAATATTAATATTATACCTCAAAAGTTAGCCTTAATATTACATTTCGTCAATTTCTAAAAGACATTGTGCATAAAATATTAATATTATACCTCAAAAGTTATCCTTAATATTACATTTCGTCAATTTCTAAAAGACATTGTACATAAAATATTAATATTATACCTCAAAAGTTCAATATGCTTTCTTATGCAGGCATTGAGCTCGCTGTTGGACCTCGCGTTGCGTAATTGCATTCCTAAAAGCTCGAACCTGGCGGTCATATATCGTAAAAGAAGTGCCACCTGAATGTCGATGCCCATGCCTGACGACGCTTGAAAACCGACCAACGATTGATGAAAAAAAATCAAACTCTTCAGCGGTTGATACTTCAGTGAAAACGGATATATCGCATCCGTGGGAAACGTTTGGGACGAGTACAATGGGCCACATATGACAAAAGCCGTGGTTAGGAAGCACCACAGTATATAAACGCCATGAAAGTATTTGTATTTCTCCACGTATCGTTCCAACACCATTCTTTCCGTTTTCGTGGCACGTTTGCAAAAGTTCTCCATTTCGAAGTATAAAAGCTGAAATTATCTATATGTATTTTATATGTATTTTATCAGAGTATTTCGGCCCAGATATTGCTGGAAATGAAGGATTAACACAGTAAAAGGGTTAAAGCAGGTTTTTTATTATAGAAATTAATAACATGACAAATATATTAATCTTTCAATCACATGTTCTACATGTGAAATTCATAGATTTTGGCGATTTTCTTTCTTTTTTTAGGATATATCAGTACATTGTGAACTATCGTTGTACGGATCAATCAAAGAATCGTAGCGAATTATTAAATTATAAATACGAAAAACACAAATGCCTAAAACTTTTGAACTGTGTCATAGATAAAAATCAAGTTTCAAAATCATTGAATAAAAATAAGATGTTTAAATTCAAAAATTTAAATATCTTATCTGCGCTTCGTGCAGAAACGAATGATCGACTTACCTGGAAACGTTTTTGCTGGAAACGACATATCATCATCTTGATCGTCACTTGTGCAACAGCCGACGCAAGACTCACGGTTTTTCCAAGAACGATTGGATGTGTCCGGTATTCGTAAATCGCGGCCATCAACGGTAAAAGTAACGCTATGGAGCTAACAAACGCCGTGCACCACAATACGTTGAATAAGAAAAGTTGAGTTTCGGTGGCGAAGGGAGAAGGTGGCCAGGAACACGTCAGAGCAACGCTGAGTTTCGTGAACAAAATCGCTCTCTCCGGCGCGATTCGTTTTCCCATCTTGACTGCACTTGCGTCGATTACAGGTACGTTGAAAAGACGTTGATACGATACGCTACAATCAAGTTCTAGTTCTAGCGCTGTTATTTTTCACGAGGAAGCTTTGAAGTCATTGTACGTTGTACGAGGGATGATATCGATGAAAGTACATACATTACAAGCAAATAGACGCTCGTAGCATGAAAGCTTGTTTTATTTTTTAACAATTTAATTAAACGATCTGGATGTGATTTCGAACGATACATAAGAAACGTAAAGTATTATCCGTTGATGATGTTCGATGTTACCATTAATTTGAAATGGCCTTTCTTCGTATTCTATCGAACGCGCTATCTATGCTACACTGTATAATCAAGATTCATCGACAGATGTCATTATTTTACCGCTTTGAGAAGAATACCACCGTGCGTTCTTGGAATCAATGCAACAATAACTACTCTTTCTCACACGGTGCTTATTTTCAGTTTAGTTTCAAGGAGAAGTTATAGATGAGCGCACGTAGAAAGTGTTCCGCCAGTAAACTATAGATAAAGGTACGTTTTGTACGTTTGCGTTTTGGCGAGACTTTTTTTTTTTTTAAATCGCAGTTCCGAACGTGTAGTAAAATACACATATAAATAAACGTGAAACGTGTACGTTAAGAAATTAAGGAGCCATGTTATTATGAGTCGAGACATTTGCTAGTTTTTATCGTATCATGCGATTTCCTGTAAACGTCAATATCTCGACGTAAACTTTTTACTGGCCGAAGCATGTTCCTATTTTTTTATTCGCGACTGGTGAGCTCGGTATGAATTGTTTATACAATAAATGTTAATTTGTACGCTTATATTTAATCAGACTCATTTTAGAGAATAGTGGTGAAACTTTTGAAATACGTTTCAGTGGCTGTAATGAAAGAATTTAAAGCATTTCGTAAACACACAATCGCATATACAAAATTAATCCTCACCTGGTATTGTTTAATATTGAAAGTTAACATTAAAGATTTTTATATTACTTAATTTTGGAATATTTAATTTTATTTATTAATACCTGTTAAGGAGAACAGAAAATGCAAAATAAAATTAAATGTCTCGAATTTTAGTGATCTAATATATTTAGTAATCTACATGATATACCATGTAAGGATTCATTCACTTATTTCAAATAGTAAATAAGAAAAAATATAATACGTGAAAGAGTATCGCAACTTCAATTCTTAAATTCTAGGCTAGTTTTAATAATCCTGATGTGTATAAATCGCAACGTTTTAAAAGTACAAAATGAATAAATTTTTGAGTGTAAAGGAAAGGTGTACAAAATGTGATTAAGGTGGGTCTCCAACGCAGCAACCTCCACGCGGTGAGACCTGGGCAATCATTATTATTTGATATACAATTATTAATTGTATCATTATATGATACAATTACGAACTATATAGCAAGTAATATGAGCTAATTGGCTGCGATCGCGAATATATTTTTATTTAGTTTCGATTTCTAACCACTACAAATATTATCTTATTTATGACGTTATTTTATAACGATCTAATCATAATTCGATTGAAAGAAGAAAACCATCTCGTGCAATTTGAATTCGAATTTTAAATTTAAATCTTACGAAATTTTTAACTTTAAATTTTAAAAGTGAAGTAAAAAGAAATGCAACAGAAATTTCATCTGTATTACTTAAACTAATATTATCTTCAAAATAAATAAACGTTGCTTTATTTCGTAAATCAGACTTTGCAGAAAGAAATTATAACTAAAAAATACGGCACGTAACATATTTAACTCTAAATAATATTATTATTTGTCATAATTGATTTTCTATAGTATATTTACACAAATTATTGTTGTGAGAATTTATTCTTTGTACATGTCAGCATCACGTAGCAATCTCGTAAGTTATATAACATTGTCATACTAATTAATTTAACATTTTATCTAACAAGTATAATACTTGTATGATACCTCCCAATCTTTATATTTTTTTTCTTCTAAAAAGGAATAATTAATATTAATATTAATAATCGCAGTACAAAATCAACTTACGAAAATTATTCTAATAAATGCCCCGCGAACAAAGATTAAAATTATTTATAATAATTACATATATTTAGTTACTCGTTCGTATTTCTTTAGAAAATTATAAATTAATCGAGAGCAGCTTTCACAATACACAATTGAAACATAAACTATTTTTCTTTAATAAAATATACAACTTTGGTAGAACTATTTACTCTATTATTCATCAGCTCTTTACTATATTATTTTTCATCTTTCATAAAATTTTCGAAGTTCCTACATTTCTTTCGTTCTCAACATTCTTATTTTAAATAATACAAAAATACCTCTGATATTTTTATCATGTAAATTTCCAACAATTTTCACTATATTCTAATCGTATAATATTCATCATTAATCAAGTATTATAAGTCAGTCACAGAAATCTAAATACATCTGTTGAATTTCAAATTTATTTTAAACAGAAAAACGGAACAGCTGTAGATATTTTATGGATTTTCATTAATTTAATGCTTAAAATTAGATTATATTCTAAAATACGATCTTGTCGTATATTGTCATAAAAGTCAATAGAACTTATTATAATTATAATACTAATAAGAGTACGTTCTCTACAATTTAATGTACTGTTTCCTAGTTTTAGAGGAAATATCTGAAATTTACAGGTATATATACAGACTTTCGTACACTAACTTTACATCGGACAGACAACAACAAGCTTCTAAATAACAATGTATCCGTCGATCCGCGTAAAATTCATCAGTCTTCAAGTCACTTGTGGCGACGACACTTTACTCGAATGCGAGTGCGTGGGTTTCGGTCCAGTTGTCGGCAATTTGCTAGAAACTGGGCACAAAACCTGTTTGTACGCTTCTCTGTAAAGCTTGTTAGTGCCAGCATAGATGAAAGGATTAATTACAGAGGAGGCCCACGCTAACACGGACGCTATCACGTGCAAAATTGGGATTTTTATCTTGTCGTCGATCACGTTCACCAGCATCAGCGGCATGAAACATAGGAGGAAGCACAAGAATATCGTCAACATCAGTCTGGTCACTCTGGAGTCCTCTCTTCGTTGAAATCCACCAGATTTCCTTCTGGACGCGCCCGCGTGAGCCTCCAGATTTTTCCTGCTCTTCCTCACGCGCCAATAAATACAAAGGTAAGACACGCTTATAACTACGCAAGGCACCACGAATCCAAGAACGAATAAAAATTTCTTCGGGCTTGCGCCGTTCTTCTTCAGAATTGTGCAGGAGAACGTGGATGGTTCTAGGCCCAGTGTTCCCCAAAAGCCAAGCAACGGTGGCAAAAGCAAAGAGAAACTCAATGTCCAGATGGCGATCAGCATCAGAATGATTCGTTGCGTGGTGTATAATTGCGCGTATATCTCTGATCTTGAGATTAATATATATCTGAAAATTTTTAATGGTTAATTAATCGGATACGTTGTGAATTCTTTTTGGAGCGATAATTCATTGATTTGTCATTAACGCTAGAACTGATAACGTGACGAACGATTTAGTATTTTACAAGCTTTTTTATTAGTTTGGTTTGGAACATCATGTATTAAAGATAGTTCAGGAAGAATTGTCGTACGATATTCGTTGTGTCCACAAATCTTCTTGCAGTTCTGCTCAAGACTTTCGAGAGGTTTGGAGAATTTTACAACTTCGAATCGACTCATGCTTTTTTACTGTACAACGAATGGAAAACACTGTTTCAAAGACATCATACATTAGCGTACTAACACTGACACGATCATAATTCTCAATTCTTCATTTTATCAACGAACATCATTGAGATGAGATAATTCAATCAAGCAGCTGTTGGTACTGTGTTTATCAAGCGTACATTTGAGCCTATTTGGATAAGCAATAGACGATTAGGTTTCACAGAAGTATGTCGAGTTTGCAAAATCGATACATAGTATAATTCGTCAGCGTATTTTGAAATAAACTAAATCAGAGACTTTGTCGAGACACGTGCCTCGCTGTACGTCACAGCATTAGAGACAATTGGATAAAATTGTTTGAATTCTACGGCACTTTCACACCGAATTACAGTTAAAGCTATTATACAAACCGATTGATCGTGATTGCCACCATGCTGAGCAGAGACACTGCTACATTTCCATAAAAGAAAAGGGGGAATATTTTGCACAGTGTTTCGCCCAGCACCCACGCCTCGTTTAAATATCTGCTCGCTGTTAGCGGTAAATTTACCGCGGAGAAAATCAAGTCCGAAATACTGAGACTTATCACGAAAGCGGTCGTAGCGTGTCGCCTCAGTCTTGTATATCTTAACAGTGCTATCACTGTTACCAAATTACCTGAAAACATAAAAGAACGTTTAAGAAAACATGGAAAAAAAGGGTAAAACGAATGCTAAGTTTTGCGCAAGAATTTAATTTAGCAGTGCTTTCGCATGCTGTTGCTAAGTTATATGAAATTTAAAAATCTAAATTGGAGCAATTAGCATTTAATATAATAAATTTACTAGAATGCTATAGAAATTTATATAATGCCGAAGGCATTTCATCGAAACAATTGTCGCAATTGCAATTGAAACACTGCTACTTTATCTCGTAAAGAGAGTACCAGAAGCAAGTGAATAATTTAAGAAAGAAATATTAATCGTTTTAATTCCTGACACTCTGTAGCATAAATTAAGAGCCGGGCGTTAATAGTCATAAACCGAGAAATGCCACCCATGGGGGTTAACAAGAACTTAACCGTAGAATTTAAACGTATAATTAAGAATTCACTCGCTATAAATTTTCATCTGTACGCTAATGAAATTTCTGGAACATCTGGAACATCCTCTAAGAATGAAATCTTTGCAAACATATTTTCCAAATCCCTTTTTACAATCAGATTTAACTCTCGTTTTGAATCGTGTTTCACAAATTTGTAATAAATTAATAAATTATATAAATATAATACAACATATTTTAATTATATTATGTATTATAATTAATTTATTTATCACATACATGCATAATTATTATAATTTTTTTCAATTGTTTTCATTTTCAAATTAATATTCACTTTGTAACCTAGTGCATCCATGATCACAATAAGATAATAAAACTTTAATGAAATTCAATTCGTTTCGAGTATAAAGTTAAAGAAACTGGATTTTACCCGCAACTCCGACGATGCTGAAAATTATCGCACAAACCGCAGCTGCGATAGTAACTGGTCGTGGGAAATGCTTGAGACTTTCATCTCCGGAGTCGAGATCGAAAATTGTGCCGTTTGTTACAGAATCACCCATTTTGTATCGTCTTTATGCACTGCTTCGTTCTCACATGTTCTCGAGAAGCAAAATGCAAAACGTAGTGAACACACTGTAAAGAATAGAAAATGTCATTAACACGTTCGAGACGCAGCCGAACGTGTATTTTTTTATGTTAAATTATAGATTTCTTACGTGTATTTTTTTATATTAATGAAAATCAAGTGTATTTATCAGATATGCGTCCACTAAAGTGTCCGACACCGGTTAAACGAATAATAAAGTGTAGGGACTGACACCGTTTCGAACGTGTTAAAGAACACGTGTGCTTAATAATGGCAATGCATTTTATATATTTCAAGTGCTATGCAAAATTTATAGACTTTTTTATTTTTTTGATGGTCAATTTAAAAACATTCGTTATTATAATTTCCTACGAGTGCTCCAAACTTCTGAGCGAGGGCGTGAAATAATATTCGAATAATATACTCACGTTTTATTGTCAATACTATTCATCGTATCTTCGTATAAAATCACAAAGTTTCGATTTCCTTCCCTTTAAAATTCATAATCAAATTGCTTCTCCAACTTTTATACAAAATTCCATTTAAAATACGTGAATGTTTACCACCGAAGAACTTCCGTCAGCTCTATCAAACGTGCCTCGTCTAAAACAGCAACCAAAAACCAAATACTATAATTAAATTAGTTATGCATAATTCCTAAAGAAATCTCTAGTTTATTGACCAAACACAGCAACGACAAGTTTCTTGTCTAATCTCATTTACAACGATACCGAAGAATCTTTTCTGATAACACACTGTTACTTTCCACAACTTAAAACTTTCCTTTGTTACGACATTTAATCCTTCTAGAGATAAACTAATTGAAGAAAGAAAATTCACGCAATTGATTTCGTTTAATCGAAACATACTAGCATCACATTTCCACCAACGAAAATCCTCTTATTCAACGACGATGCAGGAAATGAAGTCTGAAAATCCGACGAACAGATTAGCCACCGCATTTCTTATTGTTCGAACGACGCACGAGCACTACTCTGGATTTGCATATACGTTCGACGATGCAATCGTTACTTCGACGACTGTGTCGACAATGTCTAGAACGATTAAGCGCGCGAGGGCTTCGTAACCGAGCCAACCATTCGAATACAATTCTTTCTCTCTCTCTCTCTCTCTCTTTCTCTCTTTATCTGTCTATGTATATATCTTTCTTTCTCTGTCTCTCCGCATTCTCTTCTTTTTGCTCGTTAGTTAGCAACTTCGTTAACTCGTTCTATCCATAACGTTCGTTGATTTTCTTGCCATCTTTGTGGCGACGTCCAAAAAACGAGAATAGGGGAGATCCTTCAAGCGTTGACCTCGAGCAAAGAGCTTCCTCGTGCAGCCCCTTTGTTTTTCGTTGGCCACGAACTTTCCAACTTGTTGCGACAACCACGAATTAGTATCGGAGTTCTGATGAACTTCGACCTTGTCTCATTGGAAATAATTGATTTTCACTGCTTTCTACGAAATAGATCAGTATCCTGCGACACGATACGCTTTTTCCATAGTTTCGTTAGAAACGTCTTGATAATCTTGAAAATCGTTCAAAATCTTGAGAACTATCGACGAATTGTGTTTGAATTATCTTGAATGTTTAATGTTGCCATCTTCGAAATTCAAAAATTCAAAATTCGAAATTATTTCCAATAATCTTTAATTTTATTTTATTCATCATTAATTTTTGCTGTTGCTGTTTCCAAAGTTCAAGATTAAATATCCCAAATTAATTCGTTCGATTCATTTCTTTGATTTTCGAAGTTGTTACTTCTTGAAATTTAGAATTAGCATTTTAAGTTTAATCAATATCTTGACGGCAGCTCATTCGTCGATGTTGCTTTCGCGCTGTTGAATCGATTGAATAGATAGCTGCTGTATAATTTTCAGAGCTATCTGAATTCAAATTTCCAACTTCCTCCTTCTTTTTTTTTCAAATCGTTATCGATAACGCTTCACAAAAGGTCGCATTCAGTTCAAATTCCAGTCGCTCTCCAACACTATTTCACTGTTTCATGCTTTCACTGCCGAAGAAGCGATAACATCCTGAACCTTATATTAATTCTAAAACCTTCGCCACTTTCTCATCCGATCTTAATTCAATTGATCACACCATCTTCTTTAGCTGTTTGCGAAACATCTGCCCAAAATAGTAACTACAATTCCTCATTTAAAAAGAAAAAAATACAGAAAGAAACGAAATTATTCGCCGTGTATTGTTTTATCAAATTCCGAAACGAACAGGCACACTTCCTTCGTGGAAAAATCGATCCTCGCGAGTAATTGTGTGTAATTTTCTGCGATGCTCGCACGATTCTTCTTGGTACAAGAACAGATCGCGTCATCGAGTCTCTTCTAGTCCAGCTGTCGCAACGAACATTCATCGACTGACGATGTTGCTCGACGCATTACTCCCCTTTTACACAAGAAATACACGAGGTCTCCTTATCTGCCGCTTCTTTCACTTAACTCTCTCGCGTTTCCTTCTTGCTGCTCCCATTTTTTTCTTTCAGCTGTTTCGTATTCCGCTCTCTACGAAGCATCGAGTCTCTCTCGCTGCGCGAGCACCACTGCCGCCAGGGAATCGTAATTAATCAATCTCTCTCTTTGGAGATCATTGTTAGGACCGAGGATCGTTCAAGTGCATACAATCGAACGAAATGATACTTCTCGAGCATTTGCACTGTCGCGCGTGAGAATTTCGAGGTACTTTTGCTGCACCTTTCGAGTTTTGGACGATCTCTCGGTTCGATCGATTTGCACTCTTCGCGTTCCACTATTTTCTTTTTTTTAATAAAATAATTTGTCACTTTTTTTGCTTTAGATATATTATTCACTCTAATTCTCTGTTTATGCAAAATAATATGTGGCTGAGCTCAATTTGATTCAGTTGTAATAGTTGGGCCAATTTTTTTTTTTTTTTTTTTTTTATTATGTTCACTACAAATACATACACAAATACAATTTACGATTTATTCATCATTTATTCTGCTTGACCTTTTTTTTTGAAGAATTTTTTGATTAATAATTTTTCAAGAAAAGTAACGTACGTATAAATAGATGCGTTTAATTTGATCTTTATCTTGTCTGACGTGAGAGGAACAATTATGAATGGATATGTCACATTAGATACTACCCACAAATAGACATTTCACGTGTTCTATCTAATCTAATAATTGTTTCCTTAGAAGTCGGCGTAAATTGCGTAGGATTAATTCTCTGCTATAATTAGCATATCGTTCGATGGACAATAACACTTTCAAAATTTCTACTTCTACTTTTAATTCGAAGTCAAAGAAAACTTGAATTTTGCTAGAATTCATATCCTGGCGATATGAATTTTTTGATCCATTTCGCTCTGTTATCCGTTCTACTTTCATATTTCTCGATACTGTTTATGCCTCATGATTGAAATTTCATATATGACTTATAAGGCACACTTTCCTTTACTTCTCGCATAATAATCTCACTTTGAATAGCAACAACAGTAGAAATCCAATTTAGAGAAAGTAAACTCTGAGAGATACCAGCGTAAAAATGATTCCAAAAATCTGTGACGCTCTTCCTGATCGAACAGTACTTAAACAAATTGCTTTCTGTTCATACAAGTATTAAAAATTTCAAGTTGCGAATTATTTCAATTAGCGATTATTATTAATCTGCTATTGATCTCTTTTTACAACTAATCTTAATGTTTCTCATTTCAATTAAAAATGTTATTAATGTTTCGTAATTGGAGGGTTTTGAATCTCTCGAATAAAAAATTGCTATGCAGATTCGAATTAAGATTTGCACATATATCATGAAGTAACTATTTTGTTGTATACTATTTTCTACAAATGCAAAAAGAAATTTATAAATAGATAGTGAATTTTTATTAGAAAAAATACACTACTTTGAGTATTTTTTATATTTTTTGAATTCTCCAAATTTCTCATAAATGAAAATCTCTATAAGTCTTTGACAGATAATTACCTCAAAAAAAAAAAGAATTCCTCAATAGTGTTCTTCTCAATTTATAATTCCCTCTTCAACAGTCACAAAACGAAAACTCGCGTTTAATTTCTCGAAGATTAAAATCCTGCCACTGTACAAATTACACACATCACAAATTTTCAAAAAATTAATTAACAAACGATTGGGTCCCCTCTTGTTACAAAACTGCGAATATTTATGCATTTTTAAAAATTTAAAAATTTAAAATTTTAAAATTTTAAAATTAAAAATTTAAAATCTATGCGTTTTTAAACATTTAAAATCTACAATATTACGTTTGTCATAATATTTAATAATCAAAACAATTTTCCACCAAGCCTGTCCTTTCTTTATATTCATAAGGATATAGAATTGCATAAACATTCGCAGTCCATTTATCACATTTAAATATCCCTGCACTCTTCGGACATCCTACACTGTTACCTTTTTCTTTTACACTCCATCGATCAATCTTCTTTGACGCACGAATGAAAGAAATATCAAATAGAATCGCAATGACAAAAATTAATTCGTTGCTGTTTCTTTTTTAGTGGTAATGCCACGAACGTTACACTGTGTCAACGGCTGAAAACGCGATAATTTCGACGTTTACGGTCGGTTCGTTCCACACGGCACGCCGATCTCGTACTGAAGGCTGTTCCTCATGGTGAGATCGAGCTGATGGTTGAAAATGGTCGAGGGATCGGTGGTCGGGACACGATTGGCACGCGCTGGAAATAACGCGGTCAACAGGGTGCAAAAGGGTGGCGACGAATAACGACGTTCGCACATTACTCTTCTTTATATGGGCCATTAATTCTTCGGTTAGTTCGGTGTATCGATCGGACATTACTGACGTTGAGTATCAAATATTAACTTGTTTACACTAACTCTTGATTATTCGAGAAAAATGCAATAATTCAATTCGTGTGTTTATATAAAAATAATTGGATTTTCGATGGGAATTAATTAACTAAATACTCAGTGGATGAAAAAAGAGATATGATAATCGATTGAATATTATTTCAAATTTTTAACTCATATATTATTGTAATATTCGATCGTATTTCATTGTATTCGACAATCAAATTGATTGAATTTCGAACACGAAATATTAATTTCATATGACGAATAATATATAATTTATATAAGAGTTATAATATTAATTTATCATAATATCGTTTGAAATATTAATTTATCATAATATCGTTTATAAAGAAATAGGCAATAAAAAAAAAATTTTTATTGGTAGCGAGACAATGCAGTATTCCTATATCATTATTTCGTCGTATTTTTTCATCCGCAGCATGGAGCCCTGTCAGGCGTACTAAACGTAATTATGCGTCGACTTTCTCATGAAGAATTTCAATGCAAGTTAACCCCCCGTTGATGTCAAAAGATAGCCACAGAGACGACTTACCACCGCGTAGGCCAGCTGTCGGTGGACTCGGCACAAAGCCGTAGCATAACAATCGAAAGGAGCGGTCCAACAAACAAAACTCACCCTCCGCGCCCCCTTTCATCCCCTCGATACGCTTCACCTGGCTCTCTACCCTGCGATTAAAGATAATCTTGGAAAAATTTCTCACTGCTGCGTCAGTTCGTTTTAAGAGCTAAGAACTATTTCCTTTCTCCTAATCATTATATCATTTTTTCTTCATTTTCAATTTAGCAAATTTAATTGAAGTAATATAATTAATATTAGAGATTTCTTTAAAATATCCTTAAGATTTGACAAATTTATAAATTTAACAATCACAGCAAAAATCCCAATATTTATTTTAATATTAATTTGTTATCCATCGTAGTAAATACATTGAAGCAATTTTTCTATTAAAGCAATTGGTAAAAAGTAAGAAATATAATTTAATACGACATATAATTTAAAACTTGAAAAATCAACTTCTATGGGATCACTTTAGAACTAGAGTAAAAACTTCTTTTCTTTCATCATTATTTAATTTTACTAAAAACTTGTTAGAATTTAGATTGAAATTTTACATTATGTTTATATTATACATTTTTAAATTAGAAATTTATTTTTTCATCGTAAAATATATCCCTTTTCTTTCTATCTTCCTTTATACATACTCGAATTCGTTCTTTTATTCGAAATAACATGAAAAAAAAAAACACCATAGACTCGTCTCACATCCCGAACACAGACTGTTTTCCATAACCAACCCCGATTAGACCGGTTCAAGTAACTCGCTTGCTGGAGGAATGCATCGTGAGAAGAATGGTATTCTTTTGACTGTTTTCAGGACAACGAGGGCCAAACCTTTCCTTGGGACGAAAGGTTTACGTAATCAGACTGTGCACACGGCGGACCTTTTACCTAAAACCTTTGCTATCGTTACGGAAATATTTCATCTTTGAAAGGAAAAAAAAAAATTTGCCTCGTTATCTTCGCTTCTGGTCCCTTCAAGAATAATTTTCGATTTACATAGTGCGTCGTTGAATACACATGAAGGATTTTATACTTCCGTTCAAATATTTGACAAGTATTTTGATAGAACCGAAACGCTATTTTTGATAATAATAAAATTTTCAAATACCGCGTGTATTTTAATATAACTACCAACGTCTCAATTATATCTTTATATAATTATATAATTATATATAATACATAATCAATATATAATTCTTTCAATTTTGAGACAAATATAACATTTAGTATGTCTATTAATGGTTAACTGAATTTGACAATATTAGCAAATGTTTTTGGTGGTAGGATAGAAATTTTTGTAACTAAAGGAGGATTTTACTCGTCGGAAATATTAAAAATAAATGTTTTAATCTGCAATTAAATGCATCAGCGTTATCAGATTTTCGATAGTATTGAATATTTGAGGTAGAAGTATAGATAATTTTAGTGTAAGAACGCCGGAATTCCGTCGTCTATATTTATTACCGATAAGCTATCTACGATAAAGCATCGAAAACCAGACCTCGCCTTATATACATTCATTCACACTGATTAATTTTTTCGATTCAATTAGCAGTGATGGTTGGCATCTTCGTAATAGTAGAAACTTAATACCACTAGAAACTTAATTTTTTCGATTCAATTAGCATTGATGGTACTAGAAACTAGCATTCGTACTAGAAACTGAATACCACCTGAAGCAAAGTAAATTGAGCACACATAGTATATCATAACAATATCGGAACTTTGATCAATTTCAATTTCTATTTCTAATCGTGCAAATTCTCAATTCCAAATTTACTTACACATTTCTAAATTCTCTAATTTTTTTTCATTTTTTAAATTTAAACACAGCGAATAATTCTATAACAGATTGATCGTTCTATTAAACTAGTGCAATTCGAATATTAACATAATTTTTATATTCATTTAACAGTTCTTGATTATTAATCGATGGAAATATTAAGATGAGCCAAAATAAAATAACCAACAACTAAAATGACGAGATTGATTTATATGTACAATATAATGATTTCGTATGTACTTGCAAGAAAGTTTTGCTGCTTACAGAATAATTAACGATATCTTTATAACAGCCGATTATTGTTTCTCATCCCAACCGGAAAAACCAAGAATCTGGCCATACATAATGTCTGCTGATATGTATGTATTTGCAGATAGTCACAATCTTCATTCAATAAAAGTGATTGGTGTTCACAAGGCAGTAACGATAAGAGACGTGAATTATGCACTGGAAAACTCTGAAATGAAGGAAGGATTTATATTGTTATATAAATAATATGCAAAAGAAAGGACGAATTACAATTCGATACAATTAAATTTCTTTAAGAAAATTTCTCTAGAAAAGAAGAAAGAAAACTTCTTTAGAGAAAAAATATTTCATAAAGAAAAGACATATTTCCATTTCGTCATTTTAAATATGAAATATATATTTTCATAGCTTTCGAACGATCGTTCTTCTTTTTTCGTATTCTTGTTTAAAATTTCAATGTTCTGTTTCCAATAGCAATGTCGGATAACCACTGGTGCGCGTTCTGAATGAACTCATTATGCATAGTCCCACGAGCCCATACACCATTTCAATTCAACAGTGCTGTCTATTCACGAAATACTACTGCAGCGTCTGAAGTCGATTCTAGAAGCCAAAAGGGTGACTTAAGCGCGAGGAAGTGATCGAAATAACAAATAAAATGAATTCCTTTGCTAGGAAAGGCATCTTCGACTCCTAATACATTTTAAAAAGTAACACTTTTCATTGTAAAAATTTTATCTTGATGAATTCACTGCTTTATTAATACAAATGCATCAGTCACGTTTTAATTTCTTATAAAACAGTATAATCATTTCAGTTTCGAATGGTATTGTTGGTTCACATGCAAATGACTATAAAAATTTATATTAAATTATTAAAATTTAAGATTAGTTAATTTTATTTCGCAGTTTATATTTCCTCTGATAGAAATTACAAAATTACATTGAATTGAAAAATTCTGAAACTCTAAATTTTTACGATCGATAGTTTAATGATGCCAGTTGAGAAAGAGAAATCTCTTTTAAAAAAAAAGAATAGAAAAGTCATGTTAAAATCGATTAAATGAGGATCTCTGTTAGATTCAAAACGAATTTGAGGAAGTTCGAATGTAGATGGACGGGAAACGATGTCAAGATTTTTGACAGGGGCATAGAATAGTGCACGTGTAGATCGAAACCAGACTCTGCGATAATAAACTACAAATACTATTTTTATAAAGGAGTTGTGTTACATATGCATCGACCGAACTAAAGTATGCCAAGAAATTTCCTAACAAGCCATCTCTGATTTTCTCTTACAAGAGCTGACAGTAAGTATTATACAATGAATGCCCAAACTGATTTTTTCTCTTTTTGTAAAATATATTTTAAATACGAATTTTTGGGCACTCGCGAATAATTTTTTTATGCCAATAATAATATTGTGCTTTGCTTTAATACGCGGTGCAATTGATAATAAAATTACAATACAGATTATATTTAAATTATACACATATGAAATAGAAACTTCTGATATACCTGTCAAGTAAATTTTTATGCTAACAATTAGATTGTGGATTTTTATTGTCGCATTTATTATAATACTAGAAGATGAAATAAATTTCTATTTAAAGTTTCTCTTTAGTTACCTTTGATAAAAATATAAAAATACATAAAAATCCGCAGTCTGCTAATAATAATGCTACGTTTTGTTTTAATATCCAATACGATTGCTAATAAAATTACAATACGTATAGATTTAAATTATACACAGCAGTATGCGGAAATTTTAACACGAAATCTTTGTACACAGGAAAATTCCGAGGAATGGTATATTTTATCACTCCGTGGTTCCATGTTTCCGGCAAGTCCTTCCGTCTTTTAATGACGTTTTAAGAAAACACTGTTATCACTGTCGAAATCCACGATGGACAAATATTTCGGTATCGTCGGATAAGATTCTTCCTGTGTGACTTTTCACAAATTCAGGGTAAAATGGTAAAATATAATCTTTTAATAAATAAAACGAGAAATACCATTTTCCTTTGATAATATTTATTTTTCTAATATATATTCATCTATCGTACAAACATAACTATTCATTAAATACAATTAAAAATCGTTTGGTTTAATTAGAACGTTGTTCCATTTCTCGCTTGAACAAGAGCAGATACGCGATAATGGCCATAGCTGGCAACATCAACTGTGCTCGGCTGTTGCCCTAAAATATCAATCTATAAATAACTATAATCCTCATTTTATCGAGGAATTCTCTTTTTCATATTTTCAACAGCTTTCTCGACTCGGTGTTACTCGTAAATTTTCAAATCTCCGTAACATAATACATTTATACAATTGTTTTAATATTCTACGACGACTCATTGAGATTCTATTAAATTCATTAACAATACGTATCCAATGGGGAAATGTAATTTCGTGAAAAGATGAGAGCAATATATACATATACATATACTATTGATACAAAATTCTATCTACCTATTGCACCGTGTCTTATTGTAGAAATGCAGCAGTAAACGTATTTCATATAAGTACAAATCTTATCTTGGGATGTATGGAACAATTAAATTTAATGTGAGTTAAGTATCGATGTTTAATAAGTTTAATTCTATATTATTATTAACTAGATCAGTCGTTTTCCTTGAATAATTATGGATTTATGCGGCTGTTCGGTTCACCTTAAAGTATTTGGTCCGCGATGATAAATGCAATAAGAAAATTCGACTTTTCTTTTTCCTCTTGGCACTTTTTAATATCATTTGGAAGACGATTTAAGGGATTCTTCATTATTATTAAATTTTCAGAAAGCTACGTGTATAAATATTTGATATTTTATCAACGAATAAATGGCCCCTTCGTTTACGATTATGGCACTGGAAAAATTATTTTCTTCGTTTATCTCTCGAAGCAGTGTGTCATATCACACAATTCGAATAATTCTTTGAATAAGTATCTCTTTCTTAAAAATTAACGTGTACTTTGTATCTCTGATGGATGATCAAACAAATATAAACCAAAATCATTAATTTTACGGGAAAACATAATAATAATTATAATATTTAAAAGTGCAATGTTTGATAAAATGGAAATACATTTAATAGAAGGAACAAATAGATATAATATATATCGCAGAATAGATGGCTGTTACGTAACGTTGGTTAAAAAAAAAAAAAAATGTAAAATGTAAAAATACGAGTTTTAAACTCTCTTTTGTCCGTCACTGTACTTCAAAATACGCGTCTTTTTTTCTTTTCTTTTCTAAATTAAGACTCACATCATTCTCATCGAAATTTCACTTGTAAAAATACTCTTTCGCCTGGTCACCAGAGATCTTCGTTCGTTCGATATTACTTTACTTCTTTGCTCTGTTAATTGTAGCCACTCAAGAAGTACACTGTTTGTACCGTTGCGCGTTCTGTTCGATCTCCGCCAAATGTTTCTCCATCTCTCCGTTCAGGGAGTCAACCTCCGCCATCAGATCGGACAGCATTCTCTCGTTGTCTCTGTAGACGCTCTCCATACCGTCCAAGTCCTTCAATTTCGTCGAGGTGTCGGCCGTCAATTCAGAGGCTCTCTGCAAAAGCTTCTTCGCCCTCGATATGTTCCCTTTGCTCTTGTTCACCCTCAGGTCCAGCAACTCGTCCGCCTCTCTGTACTCCGTCACGAGTGTCTTCGTCTTGGCGTCGATCTTCTGCGCCTCGTCGGCCACCTTCTGCGCCTGGACGCTGATCTCACGGTACAATACGAAATCGTTCAAGACCGACTGAGTTTGCAATTGTTTCAATCGAGCGTCCAAGGACTCGACCGTCTGCGCGGTGCTGTTCGCCTGCATCTGAGCACCTCTGGTCAACTCTGCGATCTCTTCCAAGTCCTTCTCGGATCTGCTGACGTCGCGTTCGGCTTGATCGATCGCCACTTGGGCTCGATCTTGGGCCCTTTGCGCATCGCTCAATAAAACCGACACTTTGTTGGCTAGATTCTGCTTCGCGATCGCGTCCTCCTTCGCTCTCTCGGCGTCGTTCTTCAACTTCTCGGCCAATTGGAGATCGTCCCTGGTATCAGCTAGGATCTTCTCAGAATCGGTCAAGGAACCGACGATACTCTTTATACGATCGGCTAATGCCTTGATCTCGTCAGGCTTCAGTTTGATGTTCTTGGCCAGCACCTCGTTGGCCAAGTCTCTGACCATGGCTGGTGTGGGTTGTTCCTCGTCCAGTGTGCTACGGATCCGCTTGTTTATGTCAGAGAGATCCTTGCTCACGGCATCGGTCAAATTACGTGCATTCAGCGCGTAATTGAACGCATCTTGGGCGTTCGATCTGGCTGCCGTTGCGTCACGTTTCACTTGAATCATCTGGACAAACAACATTTTTCATCTACGTGAAAGATATCGAAAGAGAAAATTCATCTTGAGAAATTGAGGGGGGAAACAGCAAGCTTAAAGCTGCAGTCAGATTTAAATGTCAACGTCTACATAGGAATAAGAAGAGAAAATAAAATAAAATACGAGTTGCAAAGATAAATGTACTGCGTAGCACAAAGAGAGAAACAAAGGAACAAATATTTAAATATTTATATGTTTAAAATAAGTTAATAATACTAAACGTAGACAGATCCCAAGGAAAGATCAATTAGATTGGATATTACATTGGTAATCGCAGACTCGCTGAGCCTAAGATCAGAATATTAGTTGGAAAAGCGGAGCATCTCAAGAAAAGAATTTATGAAATGGAAGAACATTTCGAAACTTACGTTGCGAAGTAATTGTTCAGCCTCGTCTTTGTGACTTTTGATCTCAGCAGCCTGTTTCTTAGCTACGTCCAGAGCTTGATTGGCCTTCGTTACAGCGCCCGCGTCGCAGGACAATCCGCCACAAAAACCGCAGCCAGCACCGCCACATACGCTACTGCAATCCGTAACATTGTCCCCGCACATTTCAAGATTCAATCCGGGCATAATTCCATCGAAGGCCTTCAATTTCTCGTTGATCTTATCCAACGACTCCTTATTCCTCTCCTGTGCCTCCAGTACGAAAGCTTGATTCTTAGCCAATAAACTCTCTGTGTGTTTGCGGAATCTTTCCGCGTCGGCCAGAACGTTACTGGTGTCGTTCGCCATTTTCTCTGCTTGTCTAGACTGTTCTGCCATTTGCTGCGTAACGTTCAGAGCACCCAAGACGTTCTCCTCTTGCAGCCTAGTCGCATTCTCCTTGAGATCGGCAGCAGCTTGGTGCAAGCTGTTCGTCCTGTTCTTCAAGTTCTTCAGAGCAGCATCACCTAGATTCACTCTCTGGCTAACGTTCTCCAAGAGGTTGTTCACTTCCTCTAATTTCTTGGTGGATTCTAATTTCTTGTTATTCAAGTCTATGGCCAGATCATTCAATTCGTCCAAATCTTGGCTTCTGATGGAGGCATTGTTGATCAACGCCTGGACCTGATCCAAAGACTGGACCATGTCGTCGAATTCTTGACTGTAGACGCCGGTTGTTCCAACCTTTTGAATCCTCGACGCCTCTTCGATCACGAGGTTCGTCTTGTTTCTCAGACCGGTCAGCGTCATGTCCCAGTTGTCGAAACATTCGCCGCAGGGATTGCATTGAGGCGCGTTCCCGTAGTAACCACGATCGCACTGATTACATTTCTCGCCGCCGATCCCCTTGTGACAGACGCACATTCCAGTTTCTCTGTCGCACTGCTGGCTAGCGGAGCCGGTCAAATCGCAATCACACGGATAACACTCGACATTCGGATTGCCCCAGTAGTTGGTTTGACACTCGTTGCAACGTCTTCCACCGAAACCCGGTCTACACTCGCAAGTACCGTCGTACGGATTACACCTATAGAAATGGAAACAGATTGAAATAATCACTTTTAGAATAGTCTCGAGGATATTATTCCAAACGTCACCGCTGGTCAAATAAGAATTCGCATACCTGTCAGAGACGCTTCCAACCGCGTCGCACTCGCAAGGGTCGCAACCTTGACCACTGGCGATTCTCCAATGATTCTCTTCGCACGAGTCGCACAGCAAGCCAATAACGTGAGGCAAACAGGGACACTGTCCAGTCCGATGATCGCAGGGGCCAGCGTTTCTGTCTGTGCCTAAAACGTTGCACATGCAATCCTCGCAATTCTGCTCGAGAGCATTCCCGTGAAACCCTGGCTTGCAAATCTGACAGTTGGCGCCATCGGTATTATAGAGGCATTGGAGACAACGTCCAGTATGAGGATCGCAGTTTCCAGCTCGGCGTAGATCCGTGTTGTTGTTGCAATTGCAAAGTTCACAACTGCCGCCGGGGATCTCCGGATTGCCGAAGTAATTCTCCGCGCAGCTTTCGCAACGTGGACCGGTATATCCGTCGAAGCACTCGCAGATCACGTCGTGGGTGACCGGATCCAGTGAACAGCTCTCGGCGTACGAATGTCCAGAATCTATGGTTCCTGCGAATTTATTTATTTGTTAGTATTCGTGCAGTTTCGTTAAAGTAAAATTGTTTTACGTGTACATTGTAAAAAGTATTGCAAGAAATATTGTACTTCAAATATTTTCCCATATCACGTGTACCTATACGTTACATTCCTTGCAAATTAACCAATAAATCGACTCTCTCTCTCTCTCTCTCTCTAACTTACCCGGACAAGGGCACGCTCTGCACGGAATATCGACACCGATTCTAGGATCACCATAATACGTCTCGATGCACCTGTCGCAGTTATGTCCAGTGGTATAGTCCCTGCAGTTGATACACGCGCCAGTCTTGGAGTCGCAGCTCTCGGCGTGGCCGTTGCACTCGCATCGTTGGCAGTGAGGGAAGTTCCAGAAGCCGGGCTCGCATTGGCCGCAAGTTCTGCCGTATGTGTTCGGTCGGCACTTGCATCGGCCAGTTTCAACGTCGCAGAAATTATCCAACGCCCCTACACCGTCGCAGTCGCAAGGGATGCAGCCCTCTGGGCCAAAACCGTAAGTTCCAGGCGCGCAACGATCGCAACGTCTGCCGACGACGTTCTGCTTGCAAGGGCAAATGCCGCCGTAATTTTCGCAGAGCAGACTGTGCGAGCCAGTCGGGTTACACTCGCAAGCGTGCGCCCCGTCGTAAACGTAGTAGCCGATGCTATTTTGATACTTCTTGCAAACATCCGGGATATTGTTCGATATGGCGTTGAAATCGTTGTAGTAATCGCTGCAGCGATATCTTTCGTACTCCTGGCGACGAAGTTCACCGATTACGGGCATCTTGAAAAACGGAATCGAGTCTATCCTCGGTCTGAGGATGATCGAGTCGACCAAAATCGACGCGGACGGCGTGTCAGCGTGATTGTTGAATTTACGGAATTGCAGCAGAATGTTGTATCGTTTTCCTGCCTCCAGGCAGACGGACGGCTGTACAACCACGCTTCTCGATCTTAAAGGAAGTTGCGCGTACAATTGATCCTGCTCGGGTCTCCAGTCGGCGCAGGGACCGTTCGGATCCACCGGACTGTCTCTCTCGATGATTATTTGTACGTTCTCCCAGGATCCAACCTGAACTGGCTCGTATCGCACGATGATGTCGTACCATAAACTCTTACGTATATCGTCGATCGTGAAGTTCAACGTGGAACCTTCTAGCGCTTTCATGAAGCCAGTTCCGGTCCATGTACTGTTCCTTCCGTCGCGATACGGCTCTCTTATCACCACTTGGCAATTCTGCGATCATAGTTAACAATTTCTGTGTAATAAAAGTTTTCGTTAGTTTTGTTTTTTAGCAAATATTTTTTGAATGATTAAACTCTTAAATGGATCATTGAATGGACATTGCTGCAATTTGTATCGTTATTTGAAAATTTATTAAACTAAAAGTCCACGTAAGGGTTAGGGAGATACTGTGTTTTATATTTCAGCAATACTTCGTCCTCGATTTAGTTATTTCTAATTCTTTAGTTTGGGGGATGACGATCGTTAATTAAGGGATTGGCGAGAAAAAATTTTGAGTAATTACATCGCTAGCTCTGGATAATTCACCCTCGTAGATGAGAAAGTCCACTGATCCAGTGTAATAACTTTGTTCAGGTTGGTTGCAAGTTCTGCCACTAATGTGAGGCCTGCAACGACACTGGCCAGTGATCACGTCGCAAGAATTCTCGTAGGAACCACCAGGATCGCAATCGCAAGGCTTACAACCGTCCGGATCTTCCGAGAGTCCCCAGTATTCCGGAAGACACTGATTACAATCTCGGGCAGTAACATAACGCTTGCAAGTACACTCGCCAGTCACCGTATTGCATCCACGATTGTCGATGGTACCCAGGGTGTTGCAAGTGCAAGCTGAACAAAGAATTTATCTGTACTATTTGGTAAAATTTTTTAATTGCAAGTACCATCTATATTTAAAAATTCTGCACAAATTAGAAATTTTAATATTCCATGGTCATCTTTAATTCACAAACTATAGCTGATAATTGTTCTTGTTCTAAATTGATAGTTGAAAAGTGCAAATGTACGTTATGATATAATACTGTACCGTAATAAATTAATTTAACATGTAAATTTACAATTTCAAAATTTGATTGAATTTTTGAACATTGTAGCGAGAAAATTATTGCAAAACAGGAGTAAAAATATTCGACACTTTTTAGAACGACTTTTCAAGGAGAATTAATCAGAAGAAATGTTAATCATATGTGTTAAAGTTAAGTAAGAAAAGAAATTTGCAAAGAACGAGTTCCTCGAATCGATACCTTGACATCCTTCAGGATTTTCAGGATCGAAGTTCCAGAAACCATTTTTACAACGATCACAACGGCGACCTTCGATGTTTTCTTTGCAATGACAGCGACCAGATTCGCCACCGGTGATAGGATTGGTTATTGAGTCGCATATACCGTCGTCCAAGGAACCACTCAGATCGCAGTCACAAGCTGAAAACGAAAATTAGTTAAAAAAAAAAAAAAAAAAAAACAAATACGAGGAAATCAGTATCTTTCTCCAGAACGATTTCTGTGCTTCGTTCATTTCGGAGAACTTATTAGCAGGTTATTTCTTACTGATTTTACTTAAATTTCCTACGAGTACACATGAAAATCCGGAATTTTCGAATGAATTGACATTCATGAAATATTTGACGGTAACAAACAACTTACGTAAACACACATCAGGATGAGAAATATCTTTGGTGACGTCGCGATAGAAAAACGGCTTGCACAGTTCGCAATTCGTTCCCATAGTGTTGTGCTGGCAATCGTCGCAAACGCCGCCAGACACTCTTCCAGAACTTTCGTATACAGCTTCGTCGAAGTGACATGAATTCGTGTGATTGTTACAGATGCAAGGTCTGCAAGCATTCGTTTGCTTCCCAACAGCCGGTTTCCATGGTAGATCGTTGTAAAAGTCTTGACACTTCTCGCAATTCAATCCGGTTGTGTTGTGGGTGCATTCGCATCTACCGTGCACCATATTTTCCTCGTCGGCGACGCCGGGAAGCGGAAGACATCTGGACGCGTGGCCGTAACAAGAGCAGGATCCACGAATCACGATGTTTTGGATAGCGTAGTAATATTTCTCGCGAATCTCTGGACGATCGTCGAGAAGATCGTCTCCTAGCGTGTGCAGTCGGGTCATGTTTATGCGAAGGTTCGTGATTTTTAAGTGAGTCTGCACTTCCATGGAGTAGGGGTTGTCTATCTCCAGATTCTGAGGCAATACTCTGAGGAAACAACAAACAGTAGACATTTATTATTTGAATGAAAAGGTGAAAAATTCTGTTCAACAATGATTTACATTAAGTAATATTGCTTTAAGTTATAGATGACTATCTAATTTATATTAGATCTGGAGTATTTCATTTTTAAAATATTTAAAGTTATTGTATTTCTACTACTTTCTCATATTAAGTAGTAACAAAAATTAAATTGACACACAACGCATATAAACGTCAATGCGTTAATTACATTTCCATCTCCAATTGCGAGATACGAGCATCGTTTTATCGCCAAACGATATGCAGAGATCTCGACAATGCGTAGGATCAGCGCTATGCATTTCAATTTAATTTGTTATCGTTATTCACATACCTGAAGATAACATCGCCGCCAGACGATGGTGCCACCGCGGAATATCTTGTTTCGCAGATAACGTCCGTCAGTTTCTGAGGTTGTTTCGTTGATATATTTGGGAAATACTTCTCGCAGTTGTGAGCGAAGTATCGATACACTTGCCAAGTTTTACCGTAATCGGACGATCGTTCGATCAACATCATCGCCGGCCTGAACGTCTTGAAACGAATGATGATGTGTGTAAAGTGGAACTCCGACTCCAGATCGAAGCGTATCGTGACGTTTTCCACGCCGTTCTCTGCTTGCCACCAATTTTTACTGTCAAATTAAACGAGTGAAATTACGACGGGAAGAAACGAGTATAATATTTACTTTTTCCACTAGACTCTTTCCTAATATCCTAATGTTAACTAAATTATTAAATTAATATAACAAGTATTAAAATTGTTAATTTTATTGTTTCGCTGGGAGAAGATTGTTTAAATGCAAGTCGTAACGCAATGTCTCTATAAAAAGGAGGCTACTTACTCTGTAACAACATTTTCGATGTTATGCTGCTTGGTGGGCGACGATGCATCACAGAAGAAGCATTTCTTTCGCTCCTTTAGATGCGAAACGATGCAATACCTTTCCGGTCTGTGAAGGCCGCAGGTTGAAGACGCTGTTAACCGATTCTTCCGTCCGATTAATAAATTTCCTGTCGAGGGATAACACGAGCTCTGCTCACAGGGGTGTTTCCTCTTTATTTGTGCGCCTAAAGGGAAACAGAATCAAATTTTTAACAACTTCTTCGCGAAAGGCAGTCAAGTTAGCCACTAATTTAGTTATCTCCATCCCCTTCAGCCAGTTCACGGTGTCTTTCACGCCGCCAATTGGAAATGAAGTTAATTAACCGTTTGTTATTTACACTGAGTTAACGAGACGCCCAGAGACCAAAAAGTTGGTGATCAATAGGCTGCGAATTTTTATGCCTTTATGGAGAAAACAATTGCAAGAACAAACGAAATGTACATAATAGGTGAAAAAAAAAAATATAACATTTAAAGTATTTTATAAATTTCTACTTAGATTCTATTCGTTCGTAATTAGATTTACAAAAGTACAAATTTGTATAAAAATTCGCAGTCTAATGATGAAAGAACGTAGTGTCCAGGTACAGATTACCTTAACCAGATTAAAGAGAAAGAAATGCAAGATTACTCTCTGATATCCTTGCACTTTCGCTTTAAAGAAGGAAACGTGAATGTCAGTCGTCGACTTGCACAAGAAAAGATCTGTGGTTAAATCGTTCGAACGAAGTAACAAAAATTATTATTCCAATTAATAAGTGGTATTATATCGATATTAATTATATGTACACTTATGATAGCTTCTAATCGTAATTTCGTTCCGTGGAAACGATAGATTAAAGTCTTAATCGGGCAACAATTGTCATGCTGGTTTTAATTGTCTATAAACAGCGAGTAACGTGAATCTTTGAAACCAGCGAGAATGGGCTACCTCTTGGGCTGGGAATGGTCAGCCTTGGCCAATAATGGCGCTCTTCGGTCACCTCCGTGGGTGACATATCTCCTCTTTGGATCGTTCCTACAACACCCCCGTTTTTTATCTCGAATGCTCACTGTTTGATGAAATGTCTTTCTTTCAAACGTTGTTTTAAAATATGATACATTGAATCATAGAAGTATTCGTACCACCGTCCTCCAATAATTGCCAATACTGAACGATTCTTCCTACAATATAAGTTTTGAAACTCTTGTCAATAAAAATGTTAGCCTATTAAACTTCGAAGTTTTATACTGTAAAAGTCAGCGAGATTGGAAGAGTACGAATATTTTTGTGATTCACTGTACATTTATCAAAATGGAATTTTTATTTTATGCCTACTTTGGCAATTGCAAATGTTTCCTGCTCGTTAGAAAGTATTATAATTGTTATAAGTGCTAATGTTCTCAAATTTTAGCTACATAAATTATTGAATCGATGAATCGCGGTTTGCCAATTTCTTCTTTTTCTTTTTTCGTTTTCTATTACTTTCAAATGATTAGGAAAATACTAAAACTCACTTCTGGCTGGAATTCTATCTCTGTTGTATTGAGGCTCTGCGGTATCTAAAGAAAGAAATAATTTGATTAGAGAAACATTTTTGTAGACTTGTATAATATTTCTATACTTTGCTTTTATTATTCGTCGTTTAAATTGAACATTATAAGCCATTTTACATAAAAGAGTTAACGAAAATTCATTTTTCTGTGAAAAATTTTCCAACGCTGTCCTCTTTTTTTTAATAATAATTTTCATTTCTTTTTTTTAATATAAAACTTATATAAAAAAATTTTCTTCAATTTGAATACGTTCTTCCTATCGCGAATAATTCTGTAGAATGAAAACTACGACTTCTCGGAGAAAATATTAAACGAAGGCAGAATTGTGCAGTTATCAAGTAGTTCTATTACCGGTTGGGGCTATCGCAAGGGACAACCGGATGTTTATCATGTAGCTTCTCTGGAAATCACCGTTAAAAATGAATGAGAATCCTTACATTCTACAAAACTTGCAAGATTCCGCTTTATTCGTAAAACTCGATAAAATTCTATTTCATTATTCAACGACCGTACTCAACTTTCTTTATCGTTCATACATATAATAGATCAGAAAGCAGAATATTTCATTGTAAAATTATTTCGCTCTATAACGGCCAAATTCCATCAGAAATAAAACACTACTACGCATCTTCTCTTTACTGCTATTTAATATTTAAATTGTGAATGTTGAAATAAAATAGAGAATTTGAATTTAAATTAAATCTGAATTGCTTTGCGAGAAAATTTTTTAACATCTATTAACGTTAAATGCCTTTTGATCTTGTTGCTTTAGATTTCTAGAGCGCTCAGATTTTGAAGACTAAAATAAACTTGAGAAATTCAGAAGAAAGGCAGGTCGAAGGGTCAAATCGCTATCTAATCGTAATGGATAAGGTATCCTCTCGTAAGAGCAATGAATGGGAAGCACGTTATGATCAAAAGTAGATCACAACGAGTGAATCTCAATTATTTCGTCTCAACGAAGTTTCTTTCTTCTGGCTTAACGAGAAATATCAATAATTGAAATAATCGAGGTAAATTTAAAAGAAAAAAAACCTTCGTTTTTCTTCAGCCAATCTGTGCATAGATGAAAACTTAGAAATTTTATGTAGACTTTACGTTGACGCGTACAACAATTTTTATTTCAGTTTTTTTCTGAATAAATTATTTATAATGTTATTGATAAAATTTTATTAAAGTTATACATATATATATATGATGTAATGCTCGATAAGTACAAACGTGAAAAAGTTGTCGATAACTCAGATAAACACGTGCTATGTAAAACGTGTTAATAAATCATACTTACTGGACACAATCGTTATTGCAAGCAAGAGTATTGCAAAAATTGCCTGAAAAGATATTCGTGCCATTTCTTTTCTCCTTCCCCCCTAACGTTTGGATTTTTTTGAATCAAATTCAAGCCATCAGCATTATGTTCTATCTGAAAGAAAAAATATAAAAAAAAGAAAATTGTCTCATCTTTGATTTCAGCATTAAAAGTGATCATATTTCAGTTTTTTCTTCGAAGCTTGATCAAATTGCCAATCCCAAGACAGACCTAAAACCTTGAATCCTTGAATCTTCATCAATTTCAATACTTCTTTGAAAATCTTTGTGTCTGAATACTGAATCACCAAAGTTATGGATAGCTTGATACAATTTTATTTTGAGGGAATTCTTCGCGTTACAGAATATCCAAATAAATATCATAATAATATCCAAGTTAGTAATAAATATGGTGTACGGTTTATCCACGATGCATCAAGAATTGCAATGATCGCTGTACATGTTCCGAATCGTCAATGAAGTGCTCGATACGAGGAATCACATTAACTATTATAACATTTTTATAAACGATAAACGCTTTCAGCTATTGCGGTTAGTAATATTCGCTTTACCTTAAGGAATCGTTTACTAATGTACTTCAGTTCAGTCAAATAATTTATCGCGCACAGTTCAATGACCAAACAGCTCTGGAACGTTTGATAAATTGTCAAGAGAACCTGTGAAAAATGTAATATAATCTTACGTGTTTCTATTTAATGAATATTTTCATTTTGAATGTTTTAGGATTGAATATTTTAGATAATATAATTAAATTCTTTTTTGTACAGACTCGTATATTATATAGAATGTATTATTTATGTAACATATATATTATCTGCATTGTGTTATATTTAAAATGTAATATCTCTTTTATACTCAATCTTATGCTAATCTCTATGTCTAATCCTTGCTCCAAAAAAGACTACACTACCGTTGCTCCAAAAAATTTTGTACATTCCCTTACAAGTAATCACTTTGAAGCTGTATCCTAAATCCGAAATTTTCAAATTCAAATCATAATCAGAGGCTGTTCAACCAAACTAACTAATACATTACGTAAAAACGATTTTCATCATCTTCGTACAGTATCGTACACTTTCTCTTTTCAAAAAATTCTTTCCCAAGAATTTCTATCTCAAAAGATATTGAACGTCAAATTCTCTCGTGCAGTTCTTCGAAAGAACAATGTCAACGAATAATATTATTTACCTGCTCGAGTTGCAAACCGCGTCTAATCAACGTGAGACACATGCACTCGCATACATGCATGCACACAAGCTTGCTCTCGTATCAGTCAGCTTTCTAACACGCTGTTCCTCGACAAAAAAATGCAGAAACGCGTCGTTCAAAGAATACTGAAGCTTTCACGTAGCTTCGAGACGAACGTTGCCTGGGACGAGAGCGAAGCGACGTCGAGTAGAGAAACGAGAGCCAGAACGAATTGCGAGAAACATCTTACCTAACTTGGTGCTACCTCCCACGAGAGAGAGTGTTATGCCACGAGCTGACTGGCGCCTCGATAGATTCACAACGAGGATCGAACGACACGGATTAACTGATCCAGAGAGTACACTCGATCGTCGTGATAGAACGTGACGATCAACGAGATGATTTATGAACGAGAGTGGCCGTGTGCACGGACGCCTCTGGTGACGCGTCTCTCTCCCGGTGTTTCTCTGTTAAGGAGAACCTCCGACAGCGACCAGTGCCGTACGTAGAATGAGGTCCCTTCTTTGCCAGTTCGTGACGAGAGCGGATGCTGACACAGGTCGAGGGGCAAAGCAGAGTTTCTTCGAACGCGAACGGAGTAGGGGAACGAATGCGGGGGCGTTCGGAGAGAGAAAAAATTCTCTCGAGGATCACAGGACAACTGTCCTTAATTAGTCTACTTGTCCCTATTTGCGTGATCTGATACTGAAGTAAGCTGTACAAAAGAATTTGTAAAAATGAAAATACATAGAAATTCACAAACCTAAATTAAAAAAATATATATGTTCATTTTAATAACTGTCCGCATTAGTATGCCTACCCTTATTTGTAATACAAAAGAACTTGTAAAAATAAATACTTCTTCTTATTTATTTTAACATTAGGACGTACAAGTAGCAAGTATACAGACATATTAATACGGACGATTGTCCTAGGCGTTTAATTTAATGGATGAAGGGTTTCGAGGGAGAGATACTAAATTGGAAGAGATTGACGAGTGGAATTCATTATGTTTGATTTAAATATAATACATGGATAGTGATTTAGAAATGTTGCGTATGTATTTGTTAATTTTAATGGTTGTACTGTATAAATATAAATCGTAGGATGATTAAATATTTTATATTTTCAAATATTTCAAATATATTTTCAACTGTTTCAAATATTTTATATTCCGAAAGTGTTCAAATTAATTCAATGTTTAACAAATCTTCAAAGATAAAACAACATGTATACATCTATTCTCCAAAATATTTGAGCCATTGTGTTAATTAATCATATTAAGCACGATTTTCTGTAACTTTAATGCAGCAAATGAAGAGATACAATGAAGAAATTGAAGATTACACATAGCACAATAAACCACTGTCTGTAAAGTTAGTGCCTCGCATAATCTTCTTAGTATAATTCGTACATCTTCATACGTTACTTGATTTACAAAACATTAAATATTTATGTTAGAAGGAAGAGAAAAGTCATTGTCACATAAAAATTGAAATGTTAAATTGAATTGACGTGAACAAAAATGATATTCCAACATCAATAATGCTATTACAATTTTTATATTTTGTAATAATGTAAAATTATTGGTGACATAGTATATTTTATAAATAAAAGATATGCAGTATGTTTTATAGCATTCACAAGCTAGTCGGCATGTCGCGCCGTAATGTCTATTACGTCAACCCATTGGCTATAGTTCACACGTGCAGCACACTTGTATTCTTTCGTTTTCCTTTACGTCTTTCTCCGCCTTGGTTTATAGCTGGCAGGTCAGACTGACCAATGCCTTCAAGTATTCACTATAATCGAAGGTCTTTCTTACAGAGACGAATTAGTGCAATCTTTTGAAAAAGTCCAGCTTTCCCTTCAAATTTACAACTTTAACTCTATAATTGAACATCGAAAGTTGTCAACATATTAAAATAAATTCAAATATTATACAAATATTAGTAAATCTTCAGTATCTGCTGTTCAAGATTATATACGCATATAATTTCAATTTTTCAAGCTTTTTGAAAATGTAAAAATTTTTATATTTTTTCTAAAGAGAAATTAAAAAAGAATAATCGAAAAAAGAAATACACAATTTTAATAACTGAAATAAAATAAAACGTTATTAACATATAAATAATTAACTTTATAAAATATAAATACACAATTTTAATAACTGAAATAAAATAAAACGTTATTAACATATAAATAATTAACTTTATTAAATTTCAGAAATATTTTTTTCAACTTTAAAATAATCATTCTTAAATATTAATTAATTAAAAGTAAAATAGAATAAGAAGTACAATGACCCTTGCAATAGAAATGCAATAATGAAGTAGAACTCGAACACGCGAAATGTGACAAGCGAATGTGATCATCGAAAAGGAAGGAAGAGTAGCGTGGGCAGCTTATCAGAACAACGTATCCCGGTTATGATAGTAACGTACCATTGCCTCTTTGGTTCTTCTTTTTTACGCGTGTTCCTTTATTTGTATTTTCATATAACTAACAAAGCCATATGTTCGATAATTAAGTTTTGGAAAAATTCTTTGCTTTATCTAAGTCCTTAGGTAAAATTATTATTTTGATTGACAATGAAATAAATGTAACACTGAATATTTATAAAATGAAATTGAAATGCTTCTTACTTATAAATTTTTTAAAATATTTATTATTAGTATACAAAATATAATAGTACGTTACACGTTTTTATAAAAAATATACATTTTATTAAAATTCTTTGGATTCATTAGTAGCTTCACTAATAGACTCACTAGTAGTTCCATTCATAGATTCATTAAGTAGATCCATATAGGCATTTGCTATCAGATCTTCATTTTTTATATCTAATTTAGACATCAAATCCCTAGCAATCATCTCACCAGTTTCTATGTCCTGTTCATCAGTCAAGACTACCTAGAATAATGCTACATTATTTTTCAGATATAAGTGTATAATGATCTATATTTTTGACATACATACAAACCTCTAATTCCAAAAAATTTCCTAAACCTTCAACATCATCAATATGTACACGAGTTTGACCAATCATGTATACTTTTCTAGTCTTCTTTACAGTACCTATACAACCATTAGATGCAGATAAAATATCTACAATGCCACTACAAGAATGTTCACTCAAAGCTACTTTTTGATAATCACAAAGCTTCGGACCAGACTTATTAAATCTTTTGTAGTAAATTAATTCGCCTGAACCATCCTATATAAGAAATATCATTTATTTACTTAATATAGTTTCTTATTGCATTTATATTATTCATTACTGTTAAAAATTTCATTAGTAGATTTTTTTTTTAATAATGACAAGTGTATGAAGAAAAGAAATAGAAACAAGAACTACAAACTGTATGATCATTTATTCTCTGAAACCTTGTATAACAAATTCTGTTATTCAAAAATATGATCTCATGAATTAATTCTCACTGATATAATGTACAAAAATAAGAGTATAAGCATTATTACTGTATAAAAATTAACTTTATACCTCGAATTTTCGTAATTTTAATCTTCCCTCCGTAACTTTGAAAAAAATATCATGTTGTTTCAATGTGATACAGTTATGATTAGTTAATTGCATAACGCGTAAAATTTTAAGATCAGGATTATCAATTTTTGCTTTTATTTCTACGTTACGCATTGTCAATTTTTAAAAATGATAAAATATACTTATCTTAGACAAATTTTATTATTCGAACAATACTTTCGTAGTACTTCACAGTTACCCGATACTCAACCGCCATAGACAAGGCACTACATAGATCTATTAACTGACTTCATAATTAGAAATCATACATGAAGTTGCCGTTATATAACCGCTTGTATCATTACCAATGTTATCAATCTCGTGTAGGATAAACTCAATGACTATACCATTAGCTAAAAACTGAAAAGATAAAATAGATGTGAAACTTAAACCGCAAAGAAGATTATTTATCTTTCCTATTTGTTTATTTGTATTTTTTTATTTCGGATTGTTTATTTGCAGTTCCACTTGTTTATTATCATTTTATAATTAAATAAAGATTCTGTAAACTTTGTAAATTACACTTTTATTTTATTTTTAAAAATAACAGCAGGAAAAATAATGAAAGGAGATACAATTAAGAGGTATTGCTTCCAAAGGTTTAAATAATTTAATAAAGATCAAGAAATTCACAATATTAAAAATTAAATTAAATATTTTAAGTATTAAATATTTTTTCAATTTACAACTAAATATTTTATCATTCAATTAAAAACGTTTCAAAACTGACGAGATATATGAATAGACCATGCTTCTTAGGAAGGATTGTGGCCGGGAAGCTGAAATCTCGACATACTAAAAAATCACTAGAATAATAGCGTACTCCACGTTTAAAGAACGGAGAATTGCGGAACTATGACAAGAAATATGATCGAGAATAGTCAAGTCACCAATAAGGAATGACCAAGAACGTAAAAGTGAAAGATAAAGATAGAAAAAACGATTAATATTCACACATCATCGCTACGTGGCAGTCAAATATACAGAAATAAATGAATTGAATTCTCAATCGCAAAGGAATATAACTAAAACATTTATGACAACATTGTTGTAATTAGATTATTTTACCATTCATACTGCTCTAATTTAAAAGCACAATCCATGAAACAGTACTTTTAGAAATAATTAGTATTAGTATAGACAAGGAATATCTCGCGAACGGAATTTTTAGCAAAAAAATCGAATGATGTATCAGGAGAACATGAGATTCCAGAAAATGGCACACAAGAAACGGCTGTTGAGCGGTTCTCCTGAACAAAAAGGTATTTTGAAAAAATTAAAGCAAAAATATTCAGTGAACGAGAACGGATTCCTTCCTGAAAATTTGACTCATATATCAGGAGAACACGACACACGAGGAAGTGGTACGAAGAAGCCGGCCGCTAACCGGTCCTCTTGATAAAATGTTTTCTCTTAAAAATTTTACGCACGAATATCTCGTGAACGAGAAGTTTCTGGCTGACAATTCGGTTGATGTATCAGGAGCACATGACAAATGAGGAAGAGGCACCACAAAGCCGGCGGCTGAGCTGTTCTCCTGATAAGGTGGTTATTCTACACATTTTAACCAGCAATATCTCGCGAACAGCTAGCTTCTGGATGAAAATTCGACAGATGTATCAGGGGGACATAAAACTCGAAGAGGTGGCGCGACAAACCCGGCCGCTGAGCGGATCTCCTGATAATTCGGTTTGTCGAAAAACTTTAAACAGGTACATCTCGTGAAGCAGAAGGAAATTCTGGCTGAAAATTTTGCCGTTGTATCAGGAGAACATGACAATCGAAAAGGTGGCACGACAAAGCCGGCCGCGGAGATGATCTCCTGACAACTCGGTTTTTCGAAAAATGATTAAACAGTTTATAATTCATGAAAGAGAAGGACTTTCTGGCTGAAAATTCAACCGATGTATCAAGAGAGTATGATACTCGAAGAGGTAGCACGATAAAGCCGGCTGCTGAGCGGATCTCCTGATAATTCGGTTTTTCGAAAAATGTTTAAACAGGTGTAACTCATGAACGAGGCAGAATTTCTGGCTGAAAATGTGAACGATATATCAGGAGAACATGACACTCGAAGAAGTGGCACGACAAAGCCGGCTGCTTAGCGGATCTCCTGATAATTTGGTTTCTTGAAAAAAAATAATGCAGGTATATCTCGTGAACCAGGCAGAATTTGTGGTTGAAAATTTGAACGCTGTATAAGGAGAACATGATACTCCAAGAGGTGGCACGTAAAAGCTGGCCGCTGAGCGGAACTCCTGATAATTCGGTTTTTCGAAAAATGTTTAAACAGGTGTAACTCATGAACGAGGCAAAATTTCTGGCTGAAAATGTGAACAATATATCAGGAGAACATGACACTCGAAGAAGTGGCACGACAAAGCCGGCTGCTTAGCGGATTTCCTGATAATTTGGTTTCTTGAAAAAAATTTATGCAGGAATATCTCGTGAACGAGGCAGAATATCTGGCTGAAAATTAGAACGATGTATCAGGAGAACATGGTACCCGAAGAGGTGGCACGACAAAGCTAGCCATTCAGCGGATCTCGTGATAATTTGGTTTCATGAAAAAAATTTATGCAGGTATATCTCGTGAACGAGGCAGAATTTCTGGCTGAAAATTCGAACGATGTATCAGGAGAACATGGTACTCGAAGAGGTGGCAGAACCGGCCACTGAACGGATCTCCTGATAATACGGTTTTTCGAAAAACGTTTGACCCGTTGTAACTCGTGTAGGAGAAGGATTTTCTGGCTGAAAATTCGAACAATGTATCAGGAGAACATGATACTCGAAGAGGTGGCAGGACAAAGCCGGTCGCTGAGCGGATCTCCTGATAATTCGGTTTTTCGAAAAATGTTTAAACAGGTGTAACTCATGAACGAGGCAGAATTTCTGGCTGAAAATGTGAACGATATATCAGGAGAACATGACACTGGAAGAAGTGGCACGACAAAGCCTGCTGCTTAGCGGATCTCCTGATAATTTGGTTTCTTGAAAAAAATTTATGCAGGTATATCTCGTGAACCAGGCAGAATTTGTGGTTGAAAATTCGAACGCTGTATAAGGAGAACATGATACTCGAAGAGGTGGCACGTAAAAGCTGGCCGCTGAGCGGAACTCCTGATAATTCGGTTTTTCGAAAAATGTTTAAACAGGTGTAACTCATGAACGAGGCAAAATTTCTGGCTGAAAATGTGAACGATATATCAGGAGAACATGACACTCGAAGAAGTCGCACGACAAAGCCGGCTGCTTAGCGGATCTCCTGATAATTTGGTTTCTTGAAAAAAATTTATGCAGGAGTACCTCGTGAACGACGCAGAATTTCTGGCTGAAAATTAGAACGATGTATCAGGAGAACATGGTACCCGAAGAGGTGGCACGACAAAGCTAGCCATTCAGCGGATCTCGTGATAATTTGGTTTCATGAAAAAAATTTATGCAGGTATATCTCGTGAACGAGGCAGAATTTCTGGCTGAAAATTCGAACGTTGTATCAGAAGAACATGGTACTCGAAGAGGTGGCAGAACCGGCCACTGAACGGATTTCCTGATAATACGGTTTTTCGAAAAACGTTTGACCCGTTGTAACTCGTGTAGGAGAAGGATTTTCTGGCTGAAAATTCGAACAATGTATCAGGAGAACATGATACTCGAAGAGGTGGCAGGACAAAGCCGGTCGCTGAGCGGATCTCCTGATAATTCGGTTTTTCGAAAAATGTTTAAACAGGTGTAACTCATGAACGAGGCAGAATTTCTGGCTGAAAATGTGAACGATATATCAGGAGAACATGACACTGGAAGAAGTGGCGCGACAAAGCCGGCTGCTTAGCGGATCTCCTAATAATTTGGTTTCTTGAAAAAAATTTATGCATGAATATCTCGTGAACGAGACAGAATTTCTGGCTGAAAATTAGAACTATGTATCAGGAGAACATGGTACCCGAAGAGGTAGCACGACAAAGCTAGCCATTCATCGGATCACCTGATAATTCGCTTCTTCGAAAAACGTTCAAACAGGTATAACTCATGAAGGAGAAGGAAATTCTGGCTGAAAATACTGCCGTTGTAACAAGAGAGCATGATACTCGAAGAGGTGGCACGACAAAGCGAGCCATTGAGCGGATCTCCTAATAATTCGGTTTTTCGAAAAATGTTTATACAGGTACAACTCATGAAGGAGACGGAAGTTCTGGCTGAAAATTCTGCCGTTGTATCAGAACAGCATGATACTCGAAGAGGTGGCAGGACAAACCCGGCCGCTGAGCGGATCTCCTGATAATTAGGTTTCTTTCAAAAACTTTATGCACGTATATCTAGTGAACCAGGCAGAACTTGTGGGTGAAAGTTCGAAAGATGTACCAGGAGAACATGATACTCGAAGAGGTGGCACGACAGAAACGGCCACTGAGCGGATCTCCTGATAATACGCTTTTTCGAAAAATGTTTAGACAGGTATACTTTGTGAAGGAGAAGGAATTTCTGGCTGAAAATTCGAACCATGTATCAGGAGAACATGATACTCGAAGAGGTGGCAGGACAAAGCCGGCCGCTGAGCAGATCCCCTGATAATTCGTTTTTTCGAAAAATGTTGAAACAAGTACCACTCATGAAAGAGACGGAAGTTCTGGCTGAAAATTCTGCCGTTGTAACAGGACAGCATGATACTCGAAGATGTGGCATGACAAAGCCGGCAGCTGAGCGGACCTCCTGATAATTTGGTTTCTTAAAAAAAATTTAGGCAGGTATATCTCGTGTACCAGGAAGAATTTGTGGCTGAAAATTCGAATGATGTATCAGGAGAGCATGGTACTCGAAGAGGTGGCACGACAGAACCGGCCACTGAACGGATCTCCTGATAAATCGGTTTTTCGAAAAACGTTTGACCGTTGTAACTCGTGTAGGAGAAAGATTTTCTGGCTGAAAATTCGAACCATGTATCAGCAGAACATGATACTCGAAGAGGTGGCAGGACAAAGCCGGCCGCTGAGCGGATCTCCTGATAATTCGGTTTTTCGAAAAATGTTTAAACAGGTGTAACTCATGAACGAGGAAGAATTTCTGGCTGAAAATGTGAACGATATATCAGGAGAACATGACACTGGAAGAAGTGGCACGACAAAGCCTGCTGCTTAGCGGATCTCCTGATAATTTGGTTTCATGAAAAAAATTTATGCAGGTATATCTCGTGAACCAGGCAGAATTTGTGGTTGAAAATTCGAACG